CTTCGATTTAAGGTTACTTATTTACTTCGTAGTAAGGAATATATTGTTGGTACAAGTACATCACACTTAGTTGGCGATGCCTATTCAAATATCCGTTTTCTAAATAATCTTTCTCAAATTTATCAACATCTTGAACCTTTACCACCTCGTCCTATTTTTCAACGGTGTTTACTCAACAAAGAAAAAGTGGATCTTTCTTTTCCGCTTGTTAAGGAAATATCAGAAAAAGCTGAAAAGATTGAATCTTTTTTTGGACGTATTATCAAAGGAAAATCCGAAACTGAACAAATCAATTTATCATTTTCTTCTGAACAACTTATTAGATTACATAGTATTGGTAAATGTGATGATGAAGAAGTGACGATTCATGATACACTTTGTGCTTATATTATTATTACTTTAAATAAATATTTTTTTCTTACAACGGATGAACATATCCAACGTGCTCGTATGATTGTTAATTATCGTGGTACATGTGATTCATTAGTGACACAGGAACATGTTGGAAACTACATTATGTCAATACCATCCTCTCAGTTTACAGATTCACTTTCTTTATCCTCTACTGCGAAAATGATTCGGCAAGCAATTAAAACGATTCGTAGTGAGGATTTTCTCGAAAAATGGCTTGTTTCAGCTGATGTGTTAACGAGACAACTTATCAAAGATGGTCGTGTCAATTATGTATTAGATCAGAATGAAGTTATTTTTAATTCAAATTTAAAATATGATTGGGCAAATGAAGTTAATTTGGGTATGATAAATCAATGTCGATTTCACACAGCAACATCATTTAAATTTTATTTTCGAATATTTCAATTGAATCCTATTAAGGGAAAAGATGGACGTTGGACAAAAGATAATGGAGGTGCACAAGTAGCTGTTAGAATTCCAAAAGGAGAACGGAAAGATAAGTTTTTAGAAGCATGGGCAAAAGATATTCAAGAGAATTTTGCTAATGTTACTCCTTTGGAAGCGACTGGCCCCTGAACGCATCATGGTAGTTCTTTAGTGTTCCAAAACCCATAAATTCCTATGTGGCGTTGATTTCTGTTAAAATATCTAACAGAGATTTTTTTTATTGGGTTGGCAAGAAAATTTTTGCGTTTTTTTTCGAAAAAAATTCGTTTTATTTTTTAACTTAAAAAATACAACTAGCTTTCAACAATGTATGCTCCATTAATATCTATGACTTGTTACCAACGTTCTGGCAGAGAAAGAGAACGAAACAAATGGTAATTTGTTGGGGCCAAGTCAGGAGAGTACGGTGGATGTGGAAGGGTAATCCATCCGAGCTACAATAGTTTTTCACGAATCGACTTTGCAATGTGAGGTCTGGCGTTGTCATGCAAAAAACTAATTCTGTCCTGCTTCCCATGAATCTTTGCTGCAACTGTTTGTCTAGCTCCCAGCCACTGTCGCTTGCGTGTGCGATTAACATATAACACCCACTTCTCATCGCCAGTAGTAAGATTGCCGAGCCGTTGGTAGTTGCGGTGAGACGTCATTAATTCCACACAAGCATCGACTCTATGTAGGAGCTGATGTGGTGGCAGATCATGTGGTATTCAAACTCCATATTTCCACTGTAGTATGGGAGCACCCAAGCTGTTCTGCTAAGCACCGCGAAGTCAACTTAGGATCTTCTTCGATAAGCCGCTTTAAATGGTCCGTGATATCTTCATTTCTAATTCAAGATCAACATCCACATCCATAATTTTCTCTTTTTTCGAAAGACATTCGTTCTTCCTTTATATACTCTTAATATGGAAACTTAAAAGGAAGAGAAAAATCATGCATGTGCGATTTTCTTTAACAGATTCATGATATACCGTAGTACTTTATACAATTGATCTTGAATACTTTCTTTTCATTTCTATGCTGCGCGTTTATCCTTATTGACTATCAATTTCCTTTTCTACATATGATATGTAAAATGAGCACTGAATAGACAAATTGATAGTCCTTCTATAGTATGGATATAGTTAAATCTTGTTTCATTGTATAGTCTATATGAACATATCAGTGTGAGATATATAGCTTGTGGCTGTCCTGTAACGCTCACCCCACACCCTCAAGAAACAACGAGTGACAAGTTCGCATTTCCTGTCCTCTCTGCTATGGTTATTTCGTCGTGCACATATCAATTTAAAACGATGTATTTTTTCTTGCAAAAACACTATTAATATATAAATTATCAGGATTATTTTTCCTGTCTATCTCAAATGCTAAAAAAACCTGCAATATGTTTTTAAAATATAACTTTTTCTATAACAATTTTATTAAATAGTTAGCGTGGTAATTCAATAGTACTGACATTAACAACATTTATTTCTATATTATCTTGTCTATTTCCTTCGTCACGTAGTGGAACTACAGCATGACCAAATAAGTTGTAAATAATTCGTTTCAATTCATATCGGAAAGCTTTTGAAATCGTTAGAAATATGAAAAAATTGCTATAATATGAAAGATGATAAATAAAAGTAAAGAAACGATTTAAAAAGCTATCAATTGTGCTATGTAATGATGTTTTTGACTGATCTTTTGTTATTGCATCATAAACATAATACATAGTTATTATTGTACCACAACAAATAAATATAATACCTTGAGCAAATAAACAACGAAGCAATTGAAAATCTTTTTTTGTCATTGATCGAATTTGATTTCGTTTTTCTCGTGGGATAGTTCGAATATGGCGAACATTTTGAAAAGCAAATAACAAGAGAATAACCATAATTAAACAAAAAATAATATTAATACTTGCTAAGGAATAAGAAATAAAATTGAGATAAAATTTTGAAAGATCATAATAACAAATAAAATATGAGGGATAAATTTCTTGAAGACCAACTTTAACGAGTACATGAAAATTAAATACAGTCCAAAAAAAATGTGCTTATACTTATAAAAAAATAAGCTAAGCGTTTTGAACTATATAGACGAGTATCAACATTTTGTGAAGATATTAATAAACGATCAACACAAGCAAGAATAAGAATAGTTGGAGAAAGTGTAGCAAAAACAAATGAGAGATAAAGATATAATTTACATAAAATAATATTTGAATTTTGAAGATTAATATCAAAACCGATAGTAATCATGGTTGCGAGCATGGTCGAATTAGTAAAACATAAATTTATAAGAAGACATATATTAAAATAGAANCCTGATTGGTCAGTTTTGTAATCTACGATAGCTACCGATCAGTCTCAGCTATCTCCCCACGTTATTCGTGAAGTTTCTGTTAATATTGGTCTTGAATCATGATGCCAGAACACACCATTCAAACGGTCTTTTCTCATACGATTCTTCCTTCGCACGACAGAACATCTAATTAGTCCTCGTATCACTTCACAATACACTACTGATATAGTCAAATTAGAGATTTATTGAATTTCGAGCTACGGCAGTACGGTATATCTCTCGGATATACAAGCGTTGTTCGGTCAATGGTTGAACCCATTTCAAGCGATTTTTAAAAAAATTAAAGCATTTCGGAAAACGGGGGAGTGATTTTTACCTTTGACGTCGCCGGCACAGTTCTTCTCACCCCGTCCTTTACTCCACCATCAACATTCACCCCCACACCCTCCTCCCAAATGATTCATTATTGAGGTTTGAGCGGTTTCGCAAAAATGTCTTTTTGACCTTTGACCTTTGACCTTTGACCTTTGACCCTGACATAAAGAAACAGACAAACAGAAAAACAAACTTTTTTTCATATGACCCTCCTTTCAGTCGAGGGAATTTCCTCTAGTCATAGAATCAATTGGATGACTTAGGAATCCAGTATTCTAGGGTTCTGTACTTTTTCCCTTGCATTTTGTTGAGTTAAAGGCATGACTTCATTTATTTGTCGATGCCAAAGTAACCGTTTAATACTGGTAGAAAGTTGTTTTCGAAACCGCTTTGACATACAGTAACTATAGAATGAACTCTAAATCCAAACAAAAATATGAAATGAGTTAATGAAACAATGATTAGACTTGCCATGTATGGTCCATATCCATAAACAGCAAAAATCGAAGAAACTAATTGCTCTTGGGCTCGCCGGTAAGCATCTTTAACTAGATTTGTAGTAGTCAAAAAATAAATCTGCTCACCAGCGTAAGGAACATTGAATAAAATTACAGCAATAATTTGAAACAAAGCCATATTGACCATTTGTCGTGTAAAAGCTGAAGGTGTACGTCCTGTACCGAATCTTGTCATATGGTAATAAGTAAGAGATCCGAAAATCGATATGACAATGACAGGTATTAGTGTATAAATACCGAGATAAGTGAAATAACTTCGATATTTAGCATATATTGCATTGGTCATTATACACATTGAAGTGTTTTCAATCACGACAAGATCTTGCAAGAAGTAGTAGGGTATTTCATGAAGAACCCAAAAACATATAGCACCGAAGATAAAATATCTTGCTGTTCTAACAGTGCTTTTCTGTCGCACAACTGCCGATGGTGAAGAAGAAATGAACGTATCAATTGATTGTAAACAAAGTAATGTATATGCACTTTGCGTATGAATATCTATAAAACTTGAACGCATTTTACACCAGGCTCGACTAGTCAAAGTAAGATCAATTTGAAAGCCAGTGCCGAGAATTCGTGAGCTAAGACCAACCAATAATGTATTAAAATTAAGAAAAGATTGAACAAGCATATACAGCGAAGTTGCATTATGTTTGTAATTTTGACTCGTAATAATGACAAGAATATTGAGTAAATTACCACAGAGACCAGTCACTAATACAAGGAAACCAAAGATAACGCATAGATATCGAGAAGCTTGTTGTAATTGAATAACATTTAACGGAATAGTAGAAAAATTGCCAGATGACATCTTATCGTTCTCAGCGTTTAATAAAAAAATTCTTTTCACATTTAACTGAAAATGCTGTTTCTTCTGGTTACACAACATTTCCACGCATGACAATACCGTGCCGACATTACAACTCACGAAAATTCAGCGGATAATATAATTACCGGTCAATTAATTCCGATGCAACCGTGGAGACTATATCGAACAATTGGACCAAGTAATAGTGAATAGATAAGTTTAGTTGTCCCAACAGTGAAAAGAAACAAACGATTCAGCAATATTAATAGTGTACATGAAGCTTGACTCAAATCATCTTTAGATGCTGCTTTTACTAGCTGTAAATAGTGTATCAAGCTGTGTTATTCAACGTGTTGAAAGAGATGACAGGGTTCCATCAGATTCTTGAACATTTGCGGATATTATTCCAACAAACTTTCAAGTAACTGTTACGAACCAAAAGTTTACTTTATATGATAATAATGATGTCAGTCATTGAACAATGAAAAATTTAGTTGTTCTTTGATTTCATCCTACAACAAAATTTTATTGAAGAATTCGTTCGTATAAAAGAAGATGTATATGAAGTGTTAGATAGTAAATAAATTTTTTCATAAATATTTAAAAATATTAGATCAGAATTTTTCTTTAAAAACACGCGCGCATATGTCGTGCGTGATAATGTCAGTGCGCTGTAGTATCGTGCGCAAAAATATTTACAAACGAAGTAATCCTTGCAGAATGGCTTTTATATTATTTTTTAAATTAGTAGAATGAGAAAATCACATTTACTGACATGGAATCTCACCCATTTTATACACAAGCCTCTACAAACACAGTTCAATTCAAAGCGGCTGTTTCACTTTTGGCAACAAGGCTTTTCTTATAGCAATGTTGGGTAGCCTGTATCAAAAAGGAAAAGCCACGGGTGAGGGTCGGGTGTGGGTGAGGGTATTTTCTGTTACATATAGCTTCGCGTTCACATGACGACAGTTATAATCTCTATTGTTTCAGCAACAGCTGAGAAAGAGCACAAATGTTGTCAAAGCAGATATACATTTGAATTAATGAAGAATGAATTCAATGACATAGAAGACAAAACAAGAAAAAGTCAGAAGACGAAAAGAGAAACTGTCGATTAGATTTGTCGCATGATTCCGATTGATCATCTGTGCAATATCATTGATCATTGATTTATATCGATGATCGATATCAATCGTTTGAGTGTCCAATCGATTCACAACATAGGCGAATGAAAGATTTTTCGCAGGCACAGCAAATCCAATACTTCCTCCAAGTCCTACAAACACAAAACAACATCAACTAAAACCTAAGAAAAACAAATCAAACCTTGATGACCAAATATTCCAGGTCCCAATGATGGAAATAGATCATCCAGTAGGAAAAATCCCATAGCAAATGTTGTGGTAACATTCAAAACGAAATCGATTTCATGAGAAGGTGTATTCGATTTGATTGCCCGTTTTAAAATATCTTCTGTTAAGATTCGTTGGTAATGATTATTTTCCACATTACCAATTAGACCCGCATAGAGTCTTGCCAAAGATCGAGCATTTGTTATTCCATTTGCACCTGGAATTTCTGCTCTATGAGTACTATTTTTATTGAAATCATCAAATGAAGTTTGATTAGGTTTTAAATCTAATGGTGAAACACGATATTCTTGTTCGGATGGTAAACCAACATAAAATTCAATTTGTAAAGGTTTTGCAATTTCATTCCGAATAAATTCACCTAAAGTGCGATTTTTTGGATCAACTCGTCGAACAAGTTCACCGGCCAACCAACCATACGTTAATGCATGATAACCATGAGCTGTTCCTGGCTTCCACACAGGTTGACTTTGTTCTAATTTACTTATCATCAAAGTCCAATTTAAATAATCATCAAATGGAGAAAAATCAAATGGTAAACCAGCGCGATGCGAGAGAATATCGGCGACTGTTGTATTCTCTTTTCCGTTTTGTCCGTACTCAGGCCAATAGTTTATAACCAGTTCGGAGTAATCGAGAAGACCTCGTTGAACACATAACGCAACAGCTGCTGCCACTAAACCTTTCGTTGTTGAGAATACTATTTGTAATGTGTTATTATCGTAAGATTTTGATTTGAGTTTATCAAACCATCCACCCCAGAGATCAACAACTAAATTCCCTTGATGATACACCGCTAACGATGCGCCTAAATCTCGTTCGTCGACAAAATTTTCTCGAAATAATTCTCGAACAAATTCCCATCCATTGGCTGTTGCTCCATCTATATTTAGTTCATAGTTATTACCAAAAATACACGGTATAACAAGAAAAAAGCAAATCCAAATGTAAGTGTACATTCCTGTGCGTATTGATAATGAAAATAAATATAACGAGGTAGGGCAGGTATTTAAATGTGTAATTGTTGTGTGAGATAAGAAAGAAGAATCGTCATTGTGCAAATATCACATCGATGACTAAGAAAATGAACCAGTTTTACAATGGTTTCATACTGTTGCATGAATATCTTTATTAATAAACAAAACTTCTTCCATCCGAATGTATATGCTGACATAGAACTCAACAATCTGATAAATGGTTGAAGATATATTGACACGTGGTCTTTTTAGTTTATTCTTTTTGTCGTAGCATCTTTACAAAAAACTACATTATCAGATGTTTTTAAGTCCACGTTGGAAATCGATATGAACACAATTTGATATTCAGACAACATATTGCACCTTGATCATCAACGGTCTTTCATTTTTGTTGTCAGTGACGATTAAACGCTGCTCGTCGGATTGTACAATCAAATATACACGGGAACAAATGTACAGTGTTGGGATTGACCAGTGTCTAATTTTGCTTTGTATCGTTAACCCATCGATATGTTCGAATTTTCTTGAACATTGTGAGCATCAATGCTCAGCTGCATAGATAAATTGAGATGGAGATACTTGATTTGTCGTTGTTGGACTCTCCTCCGACCATAATGTGCATGAAATTCTTTATTTTTCAAGAGAATTTACTTCAAATGAGTTTGCAAGAAAGACTAAATGAATTCTTTTCTGACAAATGATATCGATTAAAAATGAACTTGTCAGCTTCATTTTCTTCACAATAAAAGATTCTTATCAAATTTATCTTTTTTCGTATGAAAAGATTACTCTACAAAGAATTCGAAGATCTTCTTGCAAAATATTCTTATTTTTATTTCACTTTCAACGAAGGAAACTTGTAAGCATCAGTAAGAGTATGACAAGCACTGAGTACATTCCAACGCATTCAGGGGTTTCCGTTTTATCAAAGAAAAATGAATGATTTATACATTTTGAACATTGATACTCTTTCTATTGGTCGAGTTTTGCCTGTATTCATGTACTTAGTAATAGTGCACTTTGTTGTTCTATATTCTCGTAAAAAAGTGCAATTATCATTGCATAGTCCTTAGCGATTTTGCGAAATACGAAAGCATCTTGAGGGTGTAGGAGAAATGTTTATAGTATCGAGTACGATGTTGGCGAGAGTGAAAGTAAGGCGCATAGTAAACTTTTCAGTTCAAAATAAGCCTCAGGACATGAAGAATAAGATGCATAGAATATCCTGAGCATGACAACGAACTTTAGTGAAAGAAACAGTTTTAATAATTTTTGATGGCGAAGATATTTGCTTCACGGTAGTGTAACGGTTATTGATCTATACAGTTCATATGTGTACCCTCCTCACCGAACACACAAGACCTCATCATCCCGAAAGGCATAGGCATTCACTCTTATAGTGGGCCACATGTGGCTGTTTTATGCAATGCATGGCGGAAAAAATAAGGGCCGCAAGCGTAGTAAATTGAAAGTACAGTGAAACGGGAACTTCACGATGTGGGCATAAACGGTTTTGTTGCTTTTATTAAACAAAAACAAGACATGATATTCTTTATCTAATGATGAAGTTTTATTGGACAAAAGCAACATTGAAACGTGGAATATCATTGTGTATCGTTCTTTGTTGAAGAGTAGTCATTGGATATACTCTCGCCCTTTGACGCCACCATTGTGTTTGATAATTAATTTGTAGTTTGATGGAAATTAAAGCTAAACTCAAAACTAGAACACAATAGATTGTTAACAGGGAATATACGATGATCCGAGGATCTTCTTTCAAAACTAAACAAATGTGTTCATCACGAATCAATTGTTAACCATGTCAAACCAACATTGGAAGGTTCAGTGAAAAGCAAAACAGTCAAAATAAAGAAGTAACTAATCAATGTGTACGAAAGTGTAGAAGAATTCGTTGAGTTTATACATGAAGAACACAAAACAGGCGAAAGATCGACTAAAAGAGAACAAACCTTACTATTTGCAAAAAGAATTTTTTGATAAAAGCTGTAATACGTATAAAGATATAGAATAAATACGAACAAATACAAAAAAAGAATGTTTCAGTATCATCATCCAAAGCTTGTGAATCACCTTGAACAACTCGAATATTTATTGACAAGGTCAGCATGCCAAGAAAAAGTAAAAATAAATAATTATTCGTGCACAGAAGTAATTGAACATCAAACAGAGTTTTTCGTCGTAATAAAATCAACCATAAGATAATTATTGTGATTATTACTCGACTAATTCAAACAATGTCTATGAAAAACATTTTTTTTAAATGTTCAGAGAAATATAATAAAAAATGTTTTATTTTTAGATGATCTTTATCTCTTCTAAAGAGAATGTTATTTCGCTGCGCCATTTATTATCATGTCCATCTAAGCATACATTCGGATTTTTTTCCGAGGATGTGCTTATACAAAGGTTAAATATTGATTACAATTGATTTGTGAAAAGTCGAAATGTTTATGTTCAGAAAGAGTAACTCAGCACATTATTGACTTGATTATTCGTGGCAAGTAATTGACCGTTCGATTGCTTTGTATCTGTACTCTTCGTCCTCTGATGATGGTGCTGATGACATGTAAATATTTTCCGAAGAAACAAGTAGTAAACTGGTTTGAGAATCAGCTTGAATAGTAGAAATATAAGACCGAATATTTCTAAACAAACGATTGTAAATAAAAGATTATTGAAGATAATTTCTTTTTGTTTAGCAATTGGTCTCTGTATGTTTTTGATGTAATAAGGAGTTTAAGTGAGAATAAGTAACAATGTTGTTGAAGGTAACGTGTTCCGAATATATTGATCAGCTGAGAGAAATAAACTATTTAAATCAACGATAAATGTAGGAATGAAGATTCCACCGAAATCAGGTTCTTCACCGGTCAATGATTCAGTTTCGTTGATAACTTTCGTTATCGACAACGTTACAGGTAAAGTTTGTGCTAAAATTTGTCCATTTTTCGAGAAGGATTGATAAAAATTCAATTCTCTCAATGTGAAATTTTCACTTTGATGTCCGTGACCTGTAAGACCAATCCGCAACGCTCCGATTGTTTTGATATCTTCTAATAAAATTCGAACAGAAATATGTTGATAAGCAAGTGGAATGGAAAGAGATAAAACCGAATTCTTATTTTCACAAGTTAACCAACGTATAATTGACCACGTTTGACCCAACTGCATCTCAATCGATATAGCATCACAATTAATCAATGTATTAACGAAATCAACGTTCAAAACAAATTCTTGAGTGTTCATCAAATCAAACATTTCTTGTTCAGTAAATGAATGTGGAACAGATAATGATTGAACATTCGTTTCGAATTTGGCGTTTCTCAACGATAAATCGCAGGCAAAGAACGAATCTGATGATGTTTCGATTGGATATTGTTTATAATACTGATGACTGAATACGTGAGCGAAACAAACCAAAACCACAATAGAAAACGAGGCTAAGCCTCCAACCCACAATTCGCCTTCATTGATCAAAGCAGTGTGTTTGAATAAACATGTCAGTAATTTCCCTATACGTTTGCTCTTCGGATGTTTGATGAAAAATTTCAAGAAGACAACAATGATCATTATAATTAAGGCAATACTTGCAGCAATTAATNGTCGAATTAGTAAAACATAAATTTATAAGAAGACATATATTAAAATAGAATACGCAAACATTTTTTTTCCATGACTTTTTAGAAAATACTAAAGCACTTAACAGATTTCCAAGATTACTTAATACATATGATATTGGAACAATATATTTATAAATATAAATAATTGTATTGTTTAAATTTTCAATAGAATAATAATCAGACGAACTCATTTCAAATTCTTGAAGACAAGCAATACACTTACATGTTAATAACGTTGTGTGAAGAAATGAAGTTTTGTTGATTGGCTTTGTACTAAAAAGAATTACAGAAATAATCGTCTTTAGAAGAAAAATTAATTTTTTAGCCTGCATAATAAAAATAAGCAATCATTTCCTGCTAATAATAACATTTTCTCCAGTATTTGAGCAAATTCTTCAAAAAATTTAATCTTTCTAAAATATCCTTCAAACATATTTTGCTAAAATTTTAATGAGAAACGTTTATTATGATAAATTACAACCGTTGTCTTTCGAAATAATTAGATTTCATCCGGATCCTATAAATAACGATATAATTCGTTTCTATCATGAAATTCAAAATTACATACATTTAATTCGCTCTTGACTGACTTTTTAAGCTGAATTAGAGATTGAACAACTCAAAAATAGAAATTTAATTATCATATAAAATTGGGTATTAAATAAGATAAGAAGCGGCAATATCATGTGTATTTTTCACATTGAGTAGGAAAACCCTATCAAAACAGATCATTAAGTATCTGTTCTTTTCATTCTTGTAGGCGTTCGAGGGCAAAGTGACTGCAATCATTTTCGAACATCTCATATTTATTAATTGTTTTCAAACGAAAAAAAATAAAACGAATAGATTTCATCATTCCATAGTAATAAGTAGTCAGTTATAATTAGTTACGCGAATATGAACAACGTTGCTTGTTGTCACTACAACGCATGTTCCAGCGGCGCAAGTTGTGACGGCAACTAGTCTCCGATCGAACAAGTTGATCGTCCAAAGTCTTCACTGTTCCTGATAGTTCATAGAATTTGTGGTCAATGAACTCAGCAGTTTTGCGCGAGCAACCTTTCACTGCGAACGATCGCCCTTCTATTTCCAATTCTGGATAGGCATCGTAGAATGAATCGAAATGTTTTCTGCCCCGGCCCTCTTCAATGAACGTCTTAAAATCTCCAGAAATGAATGCATCCGCCCACTTATGAGCAGTTTGTTATCGATACGCACCCACCATAGTCAAAAATTCGTTGATCTTTCGCCAGAGAAGGCTGAAATATCGCAAGGTAATATACAACAGCACCGATATTTTGCGCGGTCCACTCTCATTTCGAATCAACTCGAACAAATCAGCCATTGTTGACATGTCGACGAATAATTATTTTCGGCATTCGGGCGCACAGGATACGCTGAAATAACAAGTGTCGATGAAAAGAAGCAGCTCTGCTTATTATATAGAGATATCAATTATCACAATTTCTCAAAATATGCGTCTGTTTCGCTTCCCTATTCTATTAACAAGCATGCTAACTCACTTCTTTTTCTCTAGTCACTCTCGTTCTCTATGCTGATAAAATAAAATGCGAAATTATCTCGAGGAGAATGAGGAAAAGAGAGCCCAATACGCAATGTAATATATTCTTCCTCCTCTTCCCATCGAGTACGTGATAAAAAGCAGCAGCGTTGTAAATATTGGCAAACGAAATGACGAAACTAACTATTTCTTTCGGACCTCAGGTGTTAGAAATCTACTGGATAATTTTTTTTGTCATCAATGAGTATGTCCATCGTATTCCACACCGTTTTTAACCTATAGGCAAATGTGAAAACTGAATATAAAATTTAAAAAAGGGCAGTTCTGAAAAAAACGTGTTTTTTGTTCATATTTTCAGCAGTAAAATCCATATATCTCGAGGAGGAAAAAACTTTTCGGTAAAAGCGATGCATACTTTTTTTTCAGCTTCAAATGACGGTGCGAGTAACGGGCGATGATCGAGGAAAAGTTTCAAGACCAAGGAGGAGATAGGTCTACAATGGAGATGACTCACTTCCTCAAGCACCTGTTCTTGCCAAATTTATGGAACACAGTCATTTTATTATTTATTATGCAAAAGCACATGATTATACTCACTTTTTGATGAGGAATCCAGATATGTAAGTAAGATTCAAAAAGTTTCAGTAAATGGAAAAGGATGAAATTTCAAATTTTCTCATGATAACGTAAACTACATGTGTTTTTAGAGCTCTCAGTATTTTGAAAAGTTCTCCAATCAAAACTTGGTCAAAATCGAATACAAAGGTGATATTCGGAATCAGCGCAATGATATCTATCAGAATATGTAGCTTCCAACAAAATCCCAAGATAGTGATCGATTTTTTATTTGCTGGCACGTTATTTTGCAGTAAGTCTAGTTGGTTTCCAACCCTTTACAGGACGTCCTATTATGGTTTTTGGAACATGATAAGTTTGTATAAGTTCAGGCATAAGTTTTAAACGAAAGTCGATCAGATGAGGTCTTTTCCCTGTTTCCATTTTGTACAGAAAATATGAATTGAGGACTATAAAATCGAACATATGAAAAAATGATTTCTTACACCATTTGAAGCGTTTTTTCACACGTTCAACAAAACTGATTTGCATATCAGTTTTACCGATTGGTCCTCTATTAGAATTATAACCAGTTACTGAAATTAGCTTTTAAATTGGTGTTTTTCGTTTTGAGTTCACTTTTTCGGGTAAATTCCGTATGAGGCTCGTGAGTACTGGCTAACATTATAGCTTCTCTTTTACCAAAGCATTTTAGTGCTAGCATGTTACCTGTGCTTAGATAGACCTGTTGACCTTTCTCAGGTTCCTCTTCAAATTTAGGTAATCTCGCTCTATTTACTCTTACAGTACCGACTAGTTCATTTTCTGTAATCAGGGAAAGTTGACAAATAAAATTGAATTAATATCCACATTTTTTTAGTCTAAGTCATCCAATCTCGATAGTAAAAATCGATCAAATTCGATTATAAAATGTGTCAATCTATATCTTCGATCTTTTGTGCACACATAAGTTATTTTTTTCTATTATTCAAAGAATTTTTCAGTTTTGTACTTAAATGTAATAAAATAAATTAGCATTTCCTCTAGTTATGAAATCATGGATCCTGAATTCATGAAACAGCATGGAATCATATAGAATCTATTGGATGACTTAGAAATCCAGGATTCTGTACTTTTTCCTTTGCATTTTGTTGAGTTAAAGGCATGACTTCATTTATTTGTCGATGCCAAAGTAACCGTTTAATACTGGTAGAGTTGTTTTCGAAACCGCTTTGACATACAGTAACTATAAAATGAACTCTAAATTCAAACAAAAATTAAACTTGCCATGTATGGCCCATATCCATAAACAGCAAAAAACGAAGTAACTAATTGTTCTTGGGCTCGCCGATAAGCATCTTTAACTAGATTTGTAGTAGTCAAAAAATAAATCTGCTCACCAGTATAAGGAACATTGAATAAAATTACAGCAATAGTTTGAAACAAACCCATTTTGACCATTTGTCGTGTAAAAGCTGAAAGTGTACGTCCTGTACCGAATCTTGTCGTATGGTAATAAGTAAGAGATCCGAAAATCGATATGACGATGACAGGTATTAGTGTATAAATATCGAGATAAGTGAAATAACTTCGATACTTAGCATATATTGCATTGGTCATTATACACATTGAAGTGTTTTCAATCATGACAAGATCTTGCAAGAAGTAGTAGGGTATTTCATGAAGAAACCAAAAACATATAACACCGAAGGTAAAATATCTTGCTGTTCTAACAGTGATTTTCTGTCGCACAGCTGCCGATGGTGAAGAAGAAATGAACGCATCAATTGATTGTAAACAAAGTAATATACGTATATGCACTTTGCGTATGGATATCTATAAAACTTGAACGCACCTTACACCAGGCCCGACTAGTCAAAGTGAGATCAATTTGAAAGCCAGTACCGAGAATTTGTGAGCTAAGACCAATCAATAATGTATTAAAATTAAGAAAAGGTTGAACGAGCATATACAGCGAAGTTCCATCATGTTTGTAATTTTGACGTAAATTACCACAGAGACCAGTCACTAATACAATGAAACCAGAGATAACGCATAGATATCAAGAAGCTTGTTGTAATTGAATAATATTTAACGCAATAGTAGAAAATTGTTAGATGACATCTTATCGTTCTCAGCGTTTTGTGTATACACTTCGAATTATAATGAGTGTTTAATATGAAAATTTCTATGCGCAATAAAAGAATTCTTTTGACATTTAACTGAAAATGATGTTTCTTCTGGTTACACGATATTTCCACGCATGACATCACCGTGCCGATATTACAGCCCACGAAAATTCAGCGGATGATAATTACCAGTCAATTAGTTCCGATGCAACCGTGGAGATTATATCGTATAATTGGACCAAGTAATAGGGAATAGATAAGTTTGGTTGTCCCAACAGCGAGAAGAATTAAATGATTCACCAAGATTAATAGTATACATGAAGCTCGACTTAAATTAGCTTTGGATACTGCTTTTACTAGCTGTAAATAGTATATCAAGACGTGTCGGAAGAGATGACAGGAATCCATCAGATTCTTGAACATTCGCGGGTATTATTCCAATAAACTTTCAAGTAACTGCTACGGAGCAAAAGTTTATTTCATATGATAATAATGATGTCAGTCATTGAACAATGAAAAATTTAGTTGTTCTTAAATTCATTTCACCACAAAATGTTATTGAAGAATTCATTCGTATGAAAGAAGATGTGTATGAAGTGTTAAATAGTAAATAAATTTTTTCATAAATATTTAAAAACGTGTGCGTATATGTCGTGCTCGAAAATATCGTGCCACGTAAATATTTATACAAACCAAGTAATCCTTGAAGAATGGCCTTTATATTACTGTTTAAATTGGTAGAATGAGAAAATCACATTGATTGACATGGAATCTCAGCCATTTTATACACAAGCCTCTCCAAACACAGTTCAATTCAAAGCGATTGTTTCATTTTTGGTAACAAGGCTTTTCTTATAACAATGCTGAGTAACCTGTATCAAAAAACAAAAACTACGGAAACAGTTAGTACTGTCATATAAGAGCTGGAGAAACACAGAGAGAGGATCCATGATTAATGTCTTTCGCCCATAAAGGATAGAACGAAGAAAAGAGAGGAATAGAATGACGTCATATCTGTGATAAACAGTGTATACATAGTGTCGTGTAGAGTTGTTACACCGCGTTAAGAAGAAAGAAAAGGACGAAGAAAAGAGAATTTGAAGCATGATCTGCACATCGATCATGTTTATATTAGTGTAAATGTTAGCTTGATGCCTTCTCTAGTAAAAGAACAGGCAAAGCGTTGACTGGATGAGGTGGATCAGTATATGGATTGACTCGATATTATGTTGTATATAAGAATAAGTATATGAAATAGTTAGATAATTCAGGAATCAGCATATATAACTTGACTCGACATCTTATTGTGTATAACAATGAATGGAAGACATAGCTGAGGGTGAGGGTGTGAGTATTTTCTGTTACATATAGCTTCGTGTTCACATGACAACAGTTATAATCTATATTGTTTCAGCAACAGCTGAGAAAGAGTACAAATGTTGTCAAAGCAGATATACATTTGAATTAATCAAGGATCAATTCGATGACGTAGAAGACAAAACAAGAAAAAGTCAGAAGACGAAAAGAGAAACTGTTGATTAGATTCGTCGCATGGTTCCGATTGATCATCTGAGCAATATCATTGATCATTGATTTATATCGATGATCAATATCAATCGTTTCGGTGTCCAATCGATTCACAACATATGCGAATGAAAGATTTTTCGCTGGCACAGCAAAACCAATACTTCCTCCAAGTCCTACAAACACAAAACAACATCAAATAAAACCTAAGAAAAACAAAATCAAACCTTGATGACCAAATACTCCAGCTCCCAATGATGGAAATACGTTATCCAGTAGGAAAAATCCCATAGCAAATGTTGTGGTAACATTCAAAACGAAATCAATTTCATGAGAAGGTGTATTCGATTTGATTGCCCGTTTCAAGATATCTTCTGTTAAAATTCGTTGGTAATGATTATTTTCTACATTACCAATTAAACCCGCATAAAGTCTTGCCAAAGATCGAGCATTTGTTATTCCATTTGCAGCTGGAATCTCTGCTCTATGAGTATTATTTTTATTGAAATCATCATATGAAGTTTGATTAGGTTTGAAATCTAATGGTGAAACGCGATATTCTTGTTCGGATGGTAAACCAACATAAAATTCAATTTGTAAGGGTTTAGCAATTTCATCCCGAATAAATTCACCTAAAGTGCGATTTTTTGGATCAACTCGTCGAACAAGTTCACCGGCCAACCAACCATACGTTAATGCATGATAACCATGAGCTGTTCCTGGTTTCCACACAGGTTGACTTTGTTCTAATTTACTTATCATCAAAGTCCAATTTAAATAATCATCAAATGGAGAAAAATCAAATGGTAAACCAGCGCGATGTGAGAGAATATCGGCGACTGTTGTATTCTCTTTTCCGTTTTGTCCATATTCAGGCCAATAGTTTGTAACCAATTCGGAGTAATCAAGAAGACCTCGTTGAACACATAACGCAACAGCTGCTGCCACTAAACCTTTCGTTGTTGAGAATACTAATTGTAATGTATTATTATCGTAAGATTTTGATTTGAGTTTATCAAACCATCCACCACGAAGATCAACAACTAAATTCCCTTGATGATACACCGCTAACGATGCACCTAAATCTCGTTCGTCGACAAAATTTTTTTGAAATAATTCTCGAACGAATTCCCATCCATTGGCTGTTGTTCCATCTATATTTAGTTCATGGTTATTACCAGAAATACACGTTATAACAAGAAAAAAGCAAATCCAAATGTAAGTATACATTCCTGTGCGTATTGATAATGAAAATAAATATAACGAAGTAGGGCAAGTATTTAAATGTGTAATTGTTCTGTGAGATAAGAAAGAAGAATCGTCATTGTGCAAATATCACATCGATGACTAAGAAAACGAACCAGTTTTACAATGGTTTCATACTGTTGCATGAATATCTTTATTAATAAACAAAACTTCTTCCATTCGAATGTATATGCTGACATAGAACTCAACAATCTGATAAATGGTTGAAGATATGTTGACATGTGGTCTTTTTAGTTTATTCTTTTTGTCGTAGCATCTTTACAAAAAACTACATTATCAGATGTTTTTAAGTCCATGTTGGAAATCTATATGAACACAAATTGATATTCAGACAACATATTGCACCTTGATTATCAACGATCTTTCATTTTTGTTGTCAGTGACGATTAAACCCTGCTCGTCGAGTTGTACAATCAAATGCACACCCTCAAATATATAGTGTTGGAATTGACCTATGTCTAGTTTTGCTTTGTATCGTTAACCCATCGATATGTTCGAATTTTCTTAAACATTGTGAACATCAATGCTCAGCTGCATAGATAAATTGAGATGGAGATACTCGATTTGTCTTTGTTGGACTCTCCTAGTAAGTATCATTAAGAGTATGACAAGCACTGAGTACATTCCCATGCATTCAGACATATCCGTTTTATCAAAGAAAAATGAATTATTTATACATTTTGAACATCGATGCTCTTTCTATTGCTCGAGTTTTGCCTGTATTCATGTATTTAGTAATAGTGCACTTTGTTGTTCTATATTCTCGTAAAAAAGTGCAATTATCATTGCATAGTCCTTAGCGATTTTGTGAAATACGAAAGCTCGAGAAGAAAAACTTCATTATTAATGTGTGATTTATTTTGAAATAATGTTTTAAAATCTAATTTAAGCTTATATCCGTAGTATATTCTCTTTAACTATCGAATAAATATACGACATACAGAAAATAAAGATGATATTCTCATTGTTTCATGCAGCATCGATATTTCTATTGACTTTCAGTGTATTTCTAAAACATTTTCTCTTAGCTATAAATAGGTACATTCTCAATGATATTTTCCTTCTAGATTTCTTAGCTTTCAGAAGTATTCTCTGTCAGCAATTATCTATGCGACATTTCGTATTTTGTAGATTAAACAAAATTCCAATTCCTTCATCATTACCAGGAACGTATGTTTCAACACGTGTCGAACTGTGAATTCGATATAAATGCAAGAACATTTTCACGTACACACCTAAGATATGTCAACTTCTACATTACACAACACCTGTATCAATCAATACAACAATCATTAGGTTTAATAGTACAGGTGATAAATCTTTTGAGTATCTAGAGAAAATCTCGTAGATCATGTAAACAAATAGAGCAAGATTGACTGTTGCGAAAAAGCATTTTGTTATAGAAAACTGATTCTATGAAAAAACAGTTGTAGGAAACTTAAAATCCGATAAAAATAAATAAAATTCGCTTTTCTTCAACTTCTTTCAGAGTTACCTCTCCGGAAACACCATGGGCTTACAGATCCAATCTGACAGTGTTGAGTAGAATGCATAGTCGCCCTCAAAAGCCTTTGTCATTATCACTCTTTTTCTACGGTTGTATACAGCTGGAAGTAATAACAACGGGAAACTACACTATATCGTCGAACAGTACAATGGATACGCTAAGATATTTGTATAATAATACTTTGAAATTCTCGTTTCCCAATGTAAATCTAGTTGCATCCGATGAAAGTTCTGGTGACAATTTACAATTCATGTTTGCAGTTATGCTAAATGCTACGATTGATTATATTTTAGTTATCACAACATATAGGGCAAATATCGTGGGATCGTTTTCCATAAGTGCAATTGGTCCAACAGCGATTAACTTCTTACAGTATAAGAATATGGTTCTGAAATCTGAGGGTGTGGGGTGAAATGCTTATAGTATCGAGTACGATGTTGGCGAGAGTGAAAGTAAGGCGCATAGTAAAGGTTTCAGTTCAAAATAAACCTCAGAGTGTGAAGAATAAGATGTATAGAATATCCTGAGCGTGACAATGAACTTTAGTGAAAGAAACAGTTTTAGTTATTTTTGATGGTAAAGATATTTGCTTCACGGTAGTGTAACGGTTATTGATTTGTACAGTTCATATGTGTACCTTTCTCACCGAACACACAAGATCTCATCATACTGAAAGGTACAGGCAGTCACTCCTATAGTTAGCCACATATGGCTGTTTTATGCAATGCAGGGTGGGGAAAATAAGGACGGCAAGCGTAGTAAATTGAAATTACAATGAAATGAGAACTTTGCAATGTGGTCATAAACGGTGTTGTTGCTTTTATTAAATAAAAACAAGACATGATATTTCTTTCTCTAATGATGAAGTTTTATTGGACAAAATTTGTTGAAGAGTAGTCATTGGATATACTCTTGTCCCTTGACGCCACAATTGCATTTGATAATTGATTTGCGGTTTGATGTAAATTAAAGCTAAACTCAAAAGTAGAACACAATAGATTGTTAATCGGGAATATGGGATAATCCGAGGATCGTCTTTCGAAACTAAAGAAATGTGTTCATCACGAATCAATTGTTGATCATGTCAAATCAACATCGGAAGGTTCAGTGAAAAGCAAAACAGCCAAACTAACGAAATGAGTAATCATAATGCGTACGAAAATGTAGAAGAATTCCTTGAGTTTATACATGAAGAACACGAAACAGACGAAAGATCGACTATAAAAGAGAACAGACCTTACTATTTGCAAAAAGAATTTTTTGATAAAGAGCTATAATACGTAAATATATAGAATAAACACGAACAAATACAACAAATGAATCTTTCAGTTTCATCATCCCAAGTTTGTAAATCACATTGAACAACTCGAATATTTATTGACAAAGTCAGCATGCCAAGAAAAAGTAAAACTAAATAATTATTCGTGCAGAGAAGTAATTGAACATCTAATAGAGTTATTCGTCGTAATAAAATCAACAATAAGATAGTTATTGTGATTATTACTCGACTAATTCAAAGAATGTCTATGAAAAACATTTTTTTAAAGAAGGTCAGAGAAATGTGATAGAAAATGTTTTATTTTTAGACAATCTTTATTCCTTCTACAGAGAATGTTATTTCACTGCACTAGTCATTATCATGTTCATCTAAGCACATTCAGATTCTTTTTCCGAGGATTGAATTATGTCAAGTGAATACTATTGAAGTAGGATTTGAACTATTTCATATATCTATCAAGTAACTTCATACTTAGCTAATACGATCGATGAGTAACCCTAAACGATGTGTTCATACAAAGGTTAAATATTGATTACAATTTATTCGTGAAAAATCGAAATGTTTATGTTCAGAAAGAGTAACTCAGCACATTATTGACTTGATTATTCGTGGCAAGTAATTGACCGTTCGATTGCTTTGTATCTGTACTCTTCTTCCTCTGATGATGATGCTGATGACATGTAAATATTTTCCGGAGAAACAAGTAGTAAACTGGTTTGAGAATCAGCTTGAATAGTAGAAATATAAGACCGAATATTTCTAAACAAACGATTGTAAATAAAAGATTATTGAAGATAATTTCTCTTTGTTTAGCAATTGGTCTTTGTAGGTTTTTGATGTAATAAGGAGTTTCAGTGAGAATAAGTAACAATGTTGTTGAAGGTAACGTATTCCGAATATATTGATCAGCTGAGAGAAATAAACTATTTAAATCAACGATAAACGTAGGAATGAAGATTCCCCCGAAATCAGATTCTTCACCGGTCAACGATTCAGTTTCGTTGATAACTTTCGTTATCGACAACGTTACAGGTAAGGTTTGTGCTAAAATTTGTCCATTTTTCGAGAAGGATTGATAAAAATTCAACTCTCTCAATGTGAAATTTTCACTTTCATGCCCGTGACCTGTAAGACCAATCCGCAACGCTCCGATTGTTTTGATATCGTCTAATAAAATTCGAACAGAAATATGTTGATAAGCAAGTGGAATGGAAAGAGATAAGATCGAATTCTTATTTTTACACGTTAACCAACGTATAGTTGACCACGTTTGACCCAACTGCATCTCAATCGATATAGCATCACAATTAATCAATGTATTAACGAAATCTACGTTCAAGACAAATTCTTGAGTGTTCATCAAATCAAACAGTTCTTGTTCAGTAAATGAATGTGGAACAGATAATGATTGAACATTCGTTTCAAATTTGGCATTTCTCAACGATAAATCGCAGGCAAAGAACGAATCTGATGATGTTTCGATTGGATATTGTTTATAATACTGATGACTGAATACGTGAGCGAAACAAACCAAAACTAGAATAGAAAACGAGGCTAAGCCTCCAACCCACAATTCGCCTTCATTGATCAAATCAGTGTGTTTGAATAAACATGTCAGTAATGTCCCTATGCGTTTGCTCTTCGGATGTTTGATGAAAAATTTCAAGAAGACAACAATGATCATTATAATTAAGGCAATACTTGCAGCAATTAATGTCCAAAACAATGGTGATACTAAGAGACAACGACCAGGATGAATGTTGAACGTATTTTCTAGAAGAATCTCTTCGAAGATAGTACTCTCAGGCGATTTAGGATATGCTAGAACTTGAAACGTTGTCTGTAAGGCTGATTCTGGTACTTCGTCTGCTGAGCCAAGTGAACAAAATGATTTGGGTGAACATGAAACACAATAGGTGGTGAAGTCGCCAGGATTTTTTGTACCGTTCGGACAGAGAACACAATCGGTAATTCCTGAACGATTTTTATAAGTACCTCGTAAACATGGTTTTGGCTCAGTGACTGAAACGATGGTTCCCGTATCTCTAATAGATGGATAGAATCCTGAGTGTGTGGTAAGGAAAATGATTATATTTCCTCGTTCATCGAGTATCATCAATGATGATGACGATGATGAAATGACGTTTAAAATAACTGGACCTAGTCTTGACGGGAATGTTTGGTGATTATTAGGAAAAATCGATACGGGAGTGCTATTCGAATTGTAACCATTGGATTTGATATCATAGAGATAGATTTGTGATGACAACCATCGGTAATTAAGTGTATAACTATTCACTAATATAGCAGCAACACTTCCATTTTCTAACCACGCGACAGCTTTTCCATTTCCAAGTGCTCTACCGTTCGTATTTCGACTTACATACGTTAAATTGATAGGATTGGTGATATTCACGGCAAATAAAAACACTCGATTGATGAATTGCATTCCGACGAGGACATCACCGTTTTCATTAATACTAATAGACATATCATATTTAGCTGAATATGTATTCGCATCTGAATTAGTCAATAAAGCTTGCCAAGTGCCGGGTGTTGCTACTGGTTTATATTCATCAACAATTTTCGGATGACCAGATGAATTAAAGTTAATCAAATAAATCACCGGATCATACTGTTGATTTGTACTGTTAGCATGATAAATAAATCCAGTGATTACTCCAAACTTCTCGCTAATGTCAACTGCATGAGGAACAAATGAAGCGTCTGGCCATGTTAAATTACCATTCCATGATTCCAACGTATCAGTGCTCTGAGATTCAAATATCAATAGAAACTCATTAGAAAATCCATACGCGATATGGCCTCGTGGGTCAACACCAAGTATGTAATGTTTCTGATAATGAAAACTGTGCAAATATTGTAGATGATACGACAGACTCGAGCTGCATGGTAATGATTCATTTTCTGTACCATTATACTTGACCAGACCAATAAACGCACCAACTTGATCGTTAACTGATTCGCCAACGAAGAAAAAATGTCTTTCAGTCTGCGTTTGCCTTCTACCGACACCAACGCTGTGAACGTAATGATTTGTCAGATTTGGAAAATAGATGGAGCATTCCAACGATTCTGCCATATTTTCGTAAGGTGCAAAATGAAGGAGAAATGTCAATGAATTTTTATCATTTTGAACTTGAACAAGAAAATGATCGTTGAATGCTGTCTTTGAACCATGTACATCATAATCATTCTTATTAGAAATAAAATCTCCAGTTAGATGATCAACGAATAATAGAATTGGAAGCCAGATAATCATATCACAACTGAATATTCCTCGTGGACAACCTTGCAAAAATACACACGTACTGTCAATGAGTATTAAAAATAATTGTTTGCCGTTTGTTTTTCTTTTACTAATAAAAATTGTGTTGAATAGTTGACGAAAGGAAAAGTAAAATGATCTACTTAAAATCAGTAAATAGAAATTCGTGCTCATTTGCTTTCGACGCTCGAACATATTTGACGATCGTGACTAATCTCAAATTTAATCACAGTGAAAAGTGTTTGCACTTATTTAAGAGTTTTTATCCAATCAATCAGATATCGAATGCTCAAAAGTTTTTCAACATGGTGATATATCTGCACATTCAGTTGTCACCTTCTTCAGCAACCAACAGCTAATCGAAATATATTTACTCTTTTTCTTTGATTGATAAACAATTTTTCATTCAAAACCATGCTAGAGAGAAACCAAATTGTCTCAGATAATCCTTGCAGTATACTATTCGTTTAGAATGGAAAGGCAGACTATTTCAAATTGTGCTCGAAATATCTGTCGAAAAGATCGCAAATCTGTTTGAACAGAATCTTGAATGATTCACATTTGCATTGAAAACCAAAATAGAAATAGAAATCGTCCGTTTACTGTAAAAGTTGATAAAATATTCGTTTTCTTCAATAAGGCTACTTTGATACAGTTTCACCATTAATATTCATAGAAAAAGAATTTGTTATTCGCATTGCTATGTTTTTCTACCATTGTTCGCCTCAAGTATGTTTCCTCTTGTAGATACAAGCATTCGCCATTTAGATAGTGTCATGTTGCGCTCTAAAAGCATTTTAAATGCATCAAAAATCGAATAAATTGTTTGTCTCTCTGCTCAAAGTTCATTTACATGCACGTTTGTAATACGCCTACTCTTCATAACATTCTAGAAGCCTAACAGAATTGTCACATTTCATTTTTTTTCTTTGCTCAAATGTCAGCATGATCGTAAGGGTAGAAAGATACACAAAATACTGCGAAGTATTTTTTAGATCACTTTACTAATGTGCAATTAACAGCCTTTCTCCCTCTCTACTTTCCTAGTGTCAGAGCTAGTAACTGAAGGAAATATAAAATAACAATATTTTTCTAGTGATCATTCATACAAAAATAAGGGCGAGTAGTATGTTAAAAATTTATCTTCTTCTTTCACTAATTATTCAAACTCATTGTATTTTTCTTAATGTGGCGAATAAGTTGCGAATCGTGGGCAGATTTTATCAAATATTATACAGCAGATCGAGAGAACAATGTATATGTGCAATGTTGAGTTCAAATGGAATGATCTCATCATTAAATTATTTGTCAACTAATCAAACGTGTCAATTATTTTACGCCAATGTTACTACAGTTGCGTTTGAATTTGATGTAGCTTCATCCTTAATCTGTATGAATGAATCGGCAGTGTTTTCAATGCTCAGTAAGTTCTTTTTTGTGAAACGCGACCTCACAGAGAGCGTTGAAGTGTATAAAAATAAGAGGCAGATTGCGCCTGATGAAGAAAACATTTATGAGGAAGCGTCAGACATCGTTTTTGAGAATGATATGTCACTTGCAATTGTGTAGCCGTAATAAAGTAAATTGATCATTCTATGTATGGGAATGTTAAGAACTGGCTCATGTTCTACATTTTAAAGCCGGTTAGGGAGTGTGCTGAGAGAAAGTCGATCTGTTTATATAAACGATTTGCATTCAGTCCCTGTAATAGCTACTGTCGTCAAACTGTTCATGATGCTTCCGTATGTCTGCGGGAAACTCACGATGGGAATTGCTTTTAGTCTGTAATATATAAAACGTCAAGTGTCTTCGCTAGTTCTTTGAACATAATATTCTACAGAGTACCATTCATAAATGTTTATCAATTCGTAAAAAAGTTGTTTTAAAAATACTTCTTTTTCAGGTATGACCAGCAATACAACAGTATCCAAGTAAGTCTTAATCAAAGCATACGACTCTTCACGAGAGTAAACACGATCTTTGATACTTTTTGAAAAAAGCCTATTTCCAGGATTTTTTTATGTACGATCCGATGATAGACAATAGCTTCACTGTCGAATATGTGGCGTGTTTGGAGGGGGAGAAGACTTGCTTTTTGAATCTTCGCGAAAATCAGGTCAATAGTCGATTTTGGATACACATTGCATTTTTGTTATTGCGGGTCGTTGTGTGATCTGATCGTTAGCGATAGATTTTGCTCACAAAAGAGAACAAACTGAAACGTTGATTGTGACCGATTTCTATTCTCTTTAATTGATAATGTCTCAATCCGATTCATTCAATATAGCATATTATTAAATAACAATGCCGTTAATAGTTCTTTTCTTCGTTTTACTAATGTCTTGAAAATTCTTGCTTTATTTTTTATACCATAATCATTGTGTTTGTATATATATACATTTAGCACAACAACAGTTTCACAATGCAATATCACAGCATGTCGTGTGCGAATCCAAAGTTATATTGCATTAAATTTGACATACGATACAATAAATTTTGCTGAATGCAATGGCTGCTCCCGAGCGAATTTCTCAAATTTCCCGTCAGACTGGTCAAATAGATGGTATACTGGGAACTTTTATAGCTACTCTTCAAGCAGTGTAGATTGTAATGGGAACCCATATACCGGCGATCTATCGTTTTGTAAAAAAGCATGTTTGACAGACATTACGTGCGTTGGCTTTTCTAGAGCTAAGAACGCTCTAGATACTGACTCAACAGCAGATTGTTATTTGAAACGTAACGTTACGGTAGGTCGAATATATAATGATACCATATGGCAATCAGTGATTTTCAACAGCACCACATAGATTATTCAAAGAACGGACATCACCAAAGGCATGACACTAGTTTGTGCGTTTTCTTTGTTCCCTTTTCATATATTTGCAGTGTTTAATTCAAAGCCTCACTATCTTTACTGTAGTTCTTGCATTAATACTTTGCTTTCGTAATTTTGTTTTTGTCAAATAGAGGGAGAAAAACATCGTCAACACTCTTTTCATATCATCAAGGGAAAGCGAAATTCTTAACTGCTTTGATTGAACTCGAGCTTCAGTTTTCCATCTAGAAAACAAATGTTCAACATTGAATTTAGTTGCAGTAATGATAACATTGATGAAGCTAATTTTCTCTCTTGATATTTATTTAAAGCTTTATCAAAATTCTCTATTTACATGCATTTTTCAGTCATTGATCGTGACCAGAGAGCAATGTATCGTTGACATACGTGATAGTCTCGTGTTGAGCGATAGTGACTTCCTGCAGATATCGTTATTCTCTCAGAACAAATAAAACAGACATGTTGTTTTATAAATAGTCACTACGAGAAATTTATATCTATCAATATCATCGCTTTCATCTTTTATTTCCATCCTGAAAAAAACAACAGAAGGTAATGTTGAAGTTTAGTTGGATTTTATTCGAAATTCAATTGATGCATTTTTATCTGTGTTCTGCGCACATCCTCCTTTACGACACAGAAGACAGCGTTTTGGAGCAGTTCGATTGCATACACTACACCGCATACGAAGAGCGAGTTTCCTATTGTCGTCGAGTACGCACGGGAACGTTCACGATTGGATGGGAATATACTTCATGTCTCAACGATGGTACTATGTGGACTTTTAAAGAATTACTTGACGGAAAAAAGAAGCCAAGCGATGTACTAAGTTGGAGTTCGAGTGTTGAAAGGGCGGATAATTACGCTAGTCTTTACTATAATCGTTCCTGGAAATGTAGTGAATGTTGGTTATGCCAGTGCAAACCAGGAACGTTCGGTACTTTTTGTCAATATCAACTTACTCATGAAGCTCATTCATTTGAAGAAAGTATCAACGCACAATTTCAACAGAAAGAATCTGATCGATGGGGTATTCAACAGCACGGTAATATTCTTTGTTATGTAACACTAAAATGCAATCATGGTCAATTGTGCTTGGATTGGAGAGACATCTGCGACGGTTACCAACAATGTATACACGGTCTCGACGAAGAAAACTGTGATTTACTTGAATTCAATGAATGTGAAGTAGATGAATACCGATGCGACAATGGAATGTGTATTGCTGAAGAGTTTTGGCTTGATGGAGTTCTCAATCCTTTCAATATCACTGGAGACAACAGATATCCAAGTAAGGATCTATCTTACCGAAACATTTCCTACATATTTCGAATCATTTTAGTTGAAACAGATTGTATGGATTGGACGGATGAGACTTGGGGACCCAGCGGCTATTGGTGTCCTACAAATCCACGTAATATAGAATGTGATGAACATGTAACACCGCTTCATGCATGGTCCTGTGGAGATGGTCAGTTTATCGAACGGGGAGAGCGCATGGCATTTCAACAAATCATACCACCAGAGGATACATGTTATAATCTGAGAAATCTATATTATCTATGCGAATCAGCTCGACCTAATCCATTATGGACGTTTAGGAATGGTATGTGTAACAATCAAGTTGGGTATGATGATCTATCGCGGGATATGAACATGCAATTAGACAATACAACAAGATGTGCGTACGTAATTCGATGCGGATTATCTAACGGATTTGAACGTGATTGCCCTTGTAATTATAAAAATTGTTCATCAATACTGACTACTGTTTGTAACAGAGAATTAACCTATACGTTATCAGCAAGCATTATTCGACCATATATTCAAGGATATTATCATTGGGTTGATAAACAGGACTGGACTAATCCAGCGATGGATGAATTCCGACTCGATGGAGCTGTCAAATGTCGAGGATATGAGGCATCAACTATTACACAATTTTCCATTGTAAGTCACGCAATAGATAAAGCTGAAAGTATTCTGTGTTTTGATGAAGATCCGCTTATTAAACGTAATTACACATCAAGACATAAATTTCATGAGTCGTGCTGGAGCAATGAATCATTGACATTCAATAATCGACGTTACGCCTTCGTTGATATCTGTACCTCAGGCAGACGTGAATGCATTTCACAATATCGAATTCAAAACAAAATTTCTGATTGCACTGACTCTCAGGATGAACAGGCGTCATTAACATTGGGAAATCTGTGTTGGAATCTTCGAAAGCATCGCTTCCGATGTTCTTCTCAGCAACCTTCCTGCATCAGTGTACAACATTTTCATAGCGGATGTGCTTTATGCAAAAATCTGTTCGATGAAAACTTATATGGCACAGGTGTCAAATTAAGCACTATTGCTTGTCTCTTTAGAGAAGATCCCAACTGCTCATTATTGAAAAAATACATTAGCAACTCGTGGATGAATATTTCGAAAGAGAATGATCCAGTCGCAGTGCATCCTAGTAAACCGACTACTCGTCTACAGCATCATTACTATTGTGATACTATCTGGCAGTTGCCTGACCGATCAGACGAATCGAGCATCTTTTGTAAAGACTGGATATGTTTACCCCATCAGTATCAATGTAGAACAGGACAATGCATCAGTCTGGTGTGGGTTTGCGATGGCGAATGGGATTGTTCCGATGCATCCGATGAAGAAGCCATAATTCTTAATCAACCATGGTCGAGTCACAATGAACGGCTGAACTCGACTCTAGCTGAACGCGTTAAGAATTGTGTGATGCGATATTCCAAACAACTATTTTCTAACTTATGCAATGCTTTCGAATATCCTTGCTATCCAGCAAATATAACAAAACTGTCGGATGTTCTCAACGGTACTCAACGCCCCTGCATCGATTTGAATCAAATTGGAGATGGTGTTTCCGATTGCTACATGAGTCTTGATGAAAGAAATTTAGTTTCCATTCGCGATAATAATGAAATGCTCGGATTTAATTTTCGCTGTAGTGGAAATTTCTACGTACGATATTCATGGGCTTGTCTAGACCAATACTCGTGTTTTGATCCTATACTATGTTCGTATAAGAGCTGGGATAAAACATTTTGTTCCGGAAGGACAGATGTCGTTTGTTTCAATAAAACATGTGCAATACACGCACGATGCGACGGTGTTCATGATTGCTTACCTTATGGCGAAGATGAATATTGGTGTGCTCCGGAAACTGCAAGGTACTCATTACAACCATATCGTCAAACTAAAATGCAAGTACCAGCACAATGATACTTGCAATGGTTTCTCTTTCCAACACCACATGCACCCCGTGTTATACCAAAGTTAAATAAACAATCTGACCATTTCTATGCACATTCTTATATATGTAATCGTGGTGTTGCTATAATAGATCATAAACGTACGATTTTCTGTTTTTGTCCACCTGCTTATTACGGAGTCAACTGTGAATATTTCGCCGATCGAATCACTGTTGTCACTCGACTAGATCGAACGACGTTACCGAAATTTCTTCAACATGTTACATTGATAATTCAAACAACTTTGCTGTTTGATGGTAACGCCATAGATCATCACGAATTTTATTCCGATCTCGCTTTTGACGATAAACTTAAACAAAGATTCTATCTTATTTACTCACGTTCAAATGTCATGTTGGAACACAAAAAAATCACGATATCTCAATCGATCAGATATTATCGAAAACCACCCGTACGCAGTTCACTTCGACGTTTATTGTCAACCAAAGAATGAATCAGTGCCTGAAGAATTAGGCTCATGGCATTACCCAGTCTATTTTGATTTTCTTCCTGTACATCGGTTAGCACCTGTACTGAAGTTTCCTGCTTGGTTCAATGATACTACGAATTCTCCATGCCAAAACAATACTTGTCCACTGAATACTTATTGTAAACCGTTCTTCACGATTAATACCAATGCCATGAAGTACTATTGTTCTTGTAAAAGTGGATTTTATGGCAAGAAATGTCAACAATATCAATCCAAATGTGAAACATATTGTGCAAACGATTCCATTTGCAAATACACGCATCGTGGAATTTTGTCCAACACACAAAATCCGTTTTGTATTTGTCCATTGAATCGTTTTGGAGCGCGATGTCATTTACGTCATGAGGAATGTGACGAAAATGTATGCCTGAATAATGGAACGTGTCATGTGACTCGTGATCCAAGCGGAGAACGATCATTTGTTTGTATTTGTTCGTCCTTCTTTTTCGGATATCGATGTCAAGAAGAAAGAGCGTCTGTTCGAGTTAAAATTGTTGATTTAACATTCACTCAACCAGTCGCAGTGCTTGCACAATTCTTTGATGTCCATAATCGTTCTTTCGAACTACAGTTTCGTCATCAAATAGTTTATACACATGTACCGACAACTATTCTTTACAATCATGACCAAACATTTGTTCCAACCATAGGCGTTCTTCAAATCTATGAGCACTCTTCAGAAACACCTTTATACTATATCATGTATATTCAATATTCGATTCCTCAAATCAATGTTACATCATCACCTGCTCATTGTCCAAATGTATCCAGTATCGTGAAATTACCATTCAGCGTTTACAAATATCATCATATCTGTCGGAATAATTCGAATTTATTCTGTTTCTACGATTTGTATTATCTTTGTATTTGTCAGCAAGATCACTACCGTGTGAATTGATTTCACTATGCAACTCATCCTGGACTTTATGGTTGTAATTTCTGTTTATCAAATGGTAAGTGTGTGAAAGGTTCCCCGCATCAATCGACTGATTTTGTTTGTGTTTGTCCTGCTTGTCATCAAGGAAAACGTTGTGAATTTAGTTTACAAGCTTTTAGCTTTACTGTAGACTTTCTCTTCATGGATGATAGTATTAACATTCAATACTTTTACCTCAGATTTACTGGTGTATTGTTTTTATTTGGAGCTTTCACAAATCTCTGTTCGTTTTGTACTTTTATAAGACCAAAACCGCGTAAATTGAGTGTTGGCAATTATCTTCTGATAGCTTCTATTCTCAATACATGTGCTATATTTTGTCTATTCATTGAATTAATACAATCATTCGGATTCACAAATGATGTAGCATGTAAAATAAGCAATTACCTTTTATCTGTATTTACTCGATCTACGTATTGATTAACGACATGGATTACGATAGACCGCCTTCGTACCTCTCTGTCTCCTACGAATACGACTCTAAAGAATCCAGGAATCGCTATCTTCTTCGGTATAATCAGCCTTGTTTTATTATTTGTGATGGATGCATATGAACTTATCGTTTTTAAACAAATCAAACAAGTTGAATCTTCTAAAACTCATTGCGTAATTGACTTAACTCGACCAATAATAGCTACGTATAATCGTATATCTACGATTTGTCATTATATTATTCCATTTCTGGTACAAGTCATTTCAATTAGTCTTCTCGTACTATTTATTGCACGAAGTCGCGCGAAGGCAAGTGGACATAAACTTACATTTCGACAAGTATTGATGAAGCAATTTTATACTCAAAAAGAACTTTATATTACACCTACCATTATCATACTATCAGCTTTACCTCAAATTATTCTATCAACTGCTTTAGGTTGTACAGAACTGAGCAATTCACAGCGACATTTACTTCGAATCAGTTACTTACTTGCATATACTCCTCAAGCATTGGGCTTCATTCTCTATGTACTACCATCTACTGAGTATAGGAAAGAATTTTCACAAACATTTTTAGGTAAAAACCTGTTGAAAAACCAGTAAAACAGAAGACTATGACACCATTGTTTGGGTTGAGTATTTGACAGCAATAAAGTTTCGTAACACGATGGTGAGGGTGCGGTGTGGGTGTGGATGATCACTGAAAAAAATTCAAAATTAATAATACTATATTTTCAGCGAAATGTGCGATATCGATTGCACTGTTGTATTGAGAAATCGGTTATGCTTCTTGTGCAATGATTCATACCTGACCAATCATCACCTATTCGCTAAGGCCAAAACTACCTGGATACTTCTTCCTATTGATATCGAAAAATATGTAAAACAGAAATGATAAAAAGACATATATGCTGACGTACACATCCTTTCAATCATCCCCCCTCGTTTGTGCAAATTACTTCGTTACTTGTTTTTCATCAATTCACATATCTTGGTATGTTGAAGGTATAGTTTCATTTGCGATGGAGATATTTTCCGAGCAAGAAGTCGTACTATTATTCTGATATGTATTATAAATGCTTATTAAACGTATTATCTTATGTGCATTTATATTATGGATTTTAAGTGTTTTTGCTGGCTTTGTATTCATGTTTTTATCACGAAATAAGGAATCTAGCACCATTTCAATTGCTTTTACTGCTGAAGCAAGTATGGATGAATGAATATTGTATTCGAAATTTGAAAATTTTCACATTTCTTCTGCATAGCTTCAGTTATTACTACCCTTAGCTATGATGTAAATGTTTCAGCTAATGATTCGTTAGAGGTTACAAATCTGTCGGGACTTGCTGATCAAGTATGAAAATTATTTTAAAGCGATTTCCTTATAAATATATTTAATATACAGATTGCTAAAACATATAGTTTGTCTCGTAATATGGCACGAGTATTTTCAGCTCGCTTTATTCAAAGCCTGATATTGACAAGAAGAAAACGGCAAAGGTTAATATTTAAAGATATAAATATTCGCTAATAATGCATTCTATGTGTTTTAGTGCATCAGATCCTAATGATACAAATAGTAAAATGAAAACATGATTTGTCATTGAAACAGAATTTATCTACCCATATACGTGTAACCATGTTAAAATATGTAATGACTTTTACATAACTAGGATACAAAATACGATTAAAATAACTGCTTCATCAGTTCATTTTGTAATATCATTCAGTAATGGTGTCATCCTAAATCTTGATGTTACTTTTCAATCATTCGATTGTACAACAACAACAATAATTCCAGGTGAGTAGTATACTACGGGATATAATCTTATTTTCTAATGTTGCACAATCGAACATTTGTTGAACTGATTCTGAGTTTCGATCTTCAGCGAAGCTAAAATAGCATGAGTGACGAGCGCGTGATTTCATGAAAGAATTTTGAGGAGAAACACGATGGAACTGATTTTCTTAATGTGCAACAATGCACAATAGGTTTTATTTCCGTTGAGCAATACCTATATACAAACTAAACCTAACCATGATAGAAACAGTTTATTTCATGTGTACTTTATTAAGAATAGGCAGTCACAACTAATCTTAGAGTTAAACGAGCTGCTCATGCATCTTTACTCTTGCCAGATGGAAAAGTATTGGTTAATGGCGGATTTCACGAAACTGATACTCTCAGATCTACCAAAATATATGATCCACCAACTGATACGTGGCGAGATACAGGACCTGTGACTGAAAAATGACGTTACCATACAATACACTTGTTAAATAATAGAAATGTATTGTCTGTTGGTGGAATCAATAACGTGGGATCATATCTTGCCTCTACTTAATTACTTAATTTAACATTAAATTTTTGGAGAGCAACTGGAAGCATGTCAATTGCGCGAGCTTTACATACAACAACTGCGTTAACAGATGGAAATATTTTGGTTGCCGGCGGGCGCTCTAGTAGTAGTTTTACTAATACTGCTGAACTATACAATTCAACAACAGGTATTTGGACTTTTACAGGAAATGTGAGAAGTACGCGAATGGGATATGTAGCAGTGCTATTACAAGATGGTAAAGTATTAATTGCTGGTGGATTACTCATTGCAAGTACTTATCTTAAAACTGCCGAGTTATATGACCCGATAACAACAACTTGGGCAGTTACCGGTAACATGACTATTGAACGAAATCAACCTACAGCACATTTGCTAATGGATGGCAAAGTAGATATATACCTAGAGGATCTGTATTAAAAAATGGAAAAGTACTCATTACTGGTGGAACTAATGTGAATACTTGGACATTGAGAGAAAATATGAGCATGGCAAGAAATCGACAAACATCAACTCTTTTACAAGATGAAAGAGTAATAGTGATTGGTGAAGGTGACGCGACTGGTATTACTGCTAGCGTTGAAATATATACATCTGCAGATTAGCTTATCAGTTTCCCATTCGAATAGCACTTCCTTTAAACTTGACTTGTTATCAATGTTGGAGTTATTTCGAAGAGTTGTTATTTTTATTATACTTTGTACTTATGATCTTCTTCTTTCACGGATAACTTAGATGCTCATGTAGTATGCCGCTTAATCTTTATCAATAAAAATGTTTCAATAGAAAAAGTAGCTTATGGCTATATGAAGTGGAATGTTGTAGGCAAATTTTGACGCCTTCGAATTGTCACTACATAAAATATTATTGTTGCAGCTTAGCAAAAAAACATCCGTACTTACACATCGCTCTCAAAAATGAGGGTGTGAGTGTAGGAGCGACATTGAAGCCTCATTTTAAGGATAATATAAACACAGCGGCGCGGGAATTTTTTTTAATATCTGTTATTCTCAAATTAAAATATTTTGAGACTTGTGTAGTGATAAACGATCCAATGGCAACTAAGTTACCATTTTTCAAAACACCGTATCTTTTTTCAAAGTTCGTGCCTATTGAAGACCTAAGTCAACAGTTTTCAACCAGCATGCTCGTTATCTTTTCACTATTTCATAAAGGCATTTTCAATTTTAACGCATTTTTCATTTTGATGTGAGGACTAACACGATAAGTATACTTTTTTATTCAGTAACGCAGGTGAAGAACTGACTACAGAGATTAATAGATGTGATAAATTGCTTATCTGAGGGATGCAAAAGCTGTTTCTTTCGGTTTTTTCTCCGGCCACATTGTCTGCACGATACTGTATAACTGATTCTTTTTTTTATTTTCTTCAAATCTCTACATTTTGGTGATCACATCGATGTACAACATTCTTTTTATTAAACTTATGAGCTGACAACATTCTGTTGAGGAGAGTACACAGTGGAAGATCGTGTTCCTAGGAAATATTTTGAAAAAGTCTGTCAGTGCAGTTCCTTTGGGGCTGAAATGTGGAACTCACATGCTTGCGTTTCGAGAACGAGACAGTAAAGGATATTAGAATACTTACAGATTAATCTCATTGTCAAACCTACACTCTCACGTCAAAACTAGAAGCACACTCAGATTTTCTAAAGTTTAGATTCAAATTGACTACAAACTGTAATGGCGGATTCACGTATCCATGAAACTATTTCGAATATTATTATTTCAAACAATGCCATCAAGCTTTCTACAAAGAAAACCACAGAAACATTTCTTAATTTGCAAAAAGAATTCTTTGAAAGCATTTCTACTCACTACAAACAACTGGAGACGATTCAACAAGTGACCGATATCTTGTTTGATGATGAAAAAATGAAATCTCTTGTTGAGTTTAAAACATTTACAAATACACAGTTGGTGGTTTGTGGCTACAATTCGGCAGGAAAAACATCATTTCTACATGACTTTCTCCGATGTGGCGCATTTTTACCGACTGGAACTGGAGCTGTAACAGCCCGCATTGTCAAGTTCTCGTATGCACCAGCCGATAAAGCATTTATTTGGCAGCATGACACTGTGGAGTCAGCATTTACTAAACAACCGTCCTCTATACTAGTCGAAGATCTATCACGTTATTTTGCTGCAAACATAGATAATCGCAAAAAGAATACCAAAGAGCTCAAAGAAGCTATCAGGAAGCATTTGGCACGACCAGAATTTGAAATTTCATCACCGGAGTTTGCTAAGTGGGCAACCTATTTAATTGAAATTCGCATTCCATCACCGATACTGAAGTGTGGATTGGAAGTGTATGACACTGCAGGTTTGCTCGGATACGATGCGCCTGTTCTAGTTACAAACTTGCAGACTTTAGTCAAAGTCGTACGCCCCTCGCTCTTATTTTTATATGACAATCCATCATTTGCCGATGACACGCTTAATTGCTTCCGTACGTTGAAAAATGCTCTTTGTCATCTAGAAGATACAGGTGTGTTCTTTCTCAATACTAAAGCTGATGCATCGACGATTTTGCGTGATGCAGAGATTGATGAAGATGATGACGAACTCGAGCAAAGTGATATCGACAAATTGCTTGCTAAAGAGCGAGAACGTCGATACGAACTATTGATTAATGTCGAAGCTGTGAAAGATGAAATGCCAAGCAACAGTTTACAGCCAACATTAGCCGAGTGTGATTGTTTCGATATATTCAGTATAGATAAACCGAATCATCTAATGACACAAACTATGCAACAGACTGCAATTGATCGTATAATTAAGTTTGCTGCCGAGCGGGATTTGCAGGGAACCAAATATGTTAGTAACATCATATTAGATGCCATCGATGCCTTCTTCGACTTCGTGCTCGTCACCAATCGACGATCGTTAGCTGAATGGGACAAATTACGAAACGATGCATTGACATGGGGTGATGCCTTTTTTCAACACTATCGTGCTAAAATTGATGAAATGGTCAATGATATTGAAAAGCGGACAGTTCAAAAGTTTGACGAACGCCGTGATGATATTAAAAAGAAAGCTTTTGCCAGTCAAGATAAATGGCACACTCCAGGAGAACTTTTTCTAAAGCTAGGAGGCTCTTTAAAAAGAGGATTTCCGAAAGCCTCAGATCGTGAATACAAAAGTTCGATTGGTTTAGCTGTTGAAGAAGAAGTGATCAAACCGGTACTGAAACAAGTAGTCGCCAAAATGAAAGTTGAAATGCGTGAAATTACGAATAAAAAAGTGCAATTGCACTTTTAGCAAAAAACGAATTGCTCTGTGCAGCTTTTCGTGAAGTATTGATCAGTACTGCTGACACTAGCAACTTATGCACGAAGAGCGAAATATATGCAAGAGTAGCTGCCGAAATAATCGGTGTTATTTATCTTCCTATCACCGGACTTGTTCTTGGCCTAAAAAAACTGCTTGATACAGGCAGCAACGATCCCGAGCAAATAAAGAAGCAAGAAGGAGCAATTGAACATTGTTTAATTGATGTTAAAGATCGATTGCCTACTTTAGGTGAACCAATAAAAGCCAATTTACACGAATGGCTCGAGAAGAATTATGGTCAATTCAAGCGCAAAATAGACGTTTATTACAACGTAGTTCAGAAAACGATGCAACATCGTGAGAAAGCCCACCAGTTAGGTCGCATATTTTCAGGACGATTTGCACGCATCGAATGTCGACTGATTGCTAATCTTGATTTAGCTAAAAATCGTGGCGCAGAACCTAAGATAGATAATGAATCATTAGGGCATGGTGGCTTCTTTACCGTTCACGCAGCATCTTGGAATACCGAGCTACGTCTTGCCGCCAAGATACTTAGTGATCCTTTGACATATCCCGATATGGCTTACCTAGAAGCGCATTTTCATCGTACAGTTACACGCCTTCAAATTGGACACATGGCTCCACTTCGTTATTTATTTGAAAAAGAAGAGCCACAGACAGATGCAGTAGCATCTGTTGATAATAAACAGCTTATTATTCTTGTTCCTCGTTATCAAACCAATTTACACGCTTACCTGGTTGCAAATATGAGTACGATTTCGATCGATAGAACACTACAGATCGTACTCGATATTGCTCGTGTGATTGCACATATGCACAAGTACGAACTTGTACATCGGGACGTTAAAGCACGTAATATTCTCCTTGACGAACATGAACAGGTCTTCCTAGCTGATTTTGGTACTTGTGAGCATAGCGCTGAGAATACAGTCATGATTGCATCACCTCCCACCCCTCCTGAATTATCCACAGAACATCAGCTTTCGTATGAAGGAACAGCACTGGATATCTACTCGTTGGGCACACTCATGTATGTAGTTGCACCTAAACAGATGTTTCTGCAACCGACACAGCCAATCACACAAACTGACGTGAATAACCTTGATGAAGCAGTTATTCCAAACAGTTTTCGCCAACTGATGCTTCGTTGTTTAGATGCAGATCCAAACAAACGTCCGACAGCGTCGGAAGTTGTGGAGCAATTGGAGACTATTATGGATCAGGTAGCTGATGGACGGCCATGTCTCATATGTTTAGATCAGCCAAGATATCAACGGTGCTTTCCATGTGGTCATAAAACCATGTGTAACAAGTGCCTCGTGCAGAAGCAAAGCACAGATCTAGCGCCTGAATGTATTATTTGTAGACAGGTATTCACGAGTACGCAAGAAGATGCCAACGTACACACGTATGTTTTACCAGTCTAACGAACCGAATAACATTTGAAGAGTACCACAGTATTTTTCAGAATAAAAAACAACTACTAATACACGAATGTCAATTCTGATTCCAAGAGACATATCTTTACGCGGTATACTAAAGTGTGTTAAAAGAACTTTTTCAGTAAAGTTTTGAAAAATAATATAGCCAAGAATAATAGGTACAAACTCACATACCGTAATTTCGATAGTACTCGATTGGTTTTACTCGTGATGTGCGTATTTTCATCCAAATGATTCTGTAATAGAGAACATTGTCAAACTGTTTATAGTACTTCCCTTGGCGTAGGGAACATCGAGAAGATGTTCGTACACTATAAATATAAATCTCATTACGATATGAATATTGCGGTTAATTAAATAGCGCAGTTATTAATATTGAAAGTATGGTCGTAAGAAATGAAACAAAAGACATCAAATGGAAAGCTCAGTAATATGTTAATTCCAGGTATTCTAGTACTACACTGCAGATAAAAATGAATATAGCATAGGTCAAACATAAATAGATTACAATTTGTTAAGAAGTATTGGAAACGCTTCTTCAGATGTATCATTTCTATGACGTCATGATATACGTATGTCCACAAGGTATATTCTATCTCGTCCTCTGGTCTTCTACGAACCTATATAAACCCACTGTTTGTAACTAATAAAACGATCTTGTGTTCATACGCACTGTCGATACAACATTCTCTTCTTCACAAATTGTAAACGGATAGGTAGATGCTATTGATGAAACGAGAACACCGAGAAAATTGATGCAACGTGACACAAATATATAGCAACAACTATATTCAGGTGTTGACGGAACGATCGCTTTGGTGTTACTATAGATCCTAGATTCAGACGAAGTTGTACTTAAAGTACGTAAGAGAAGCTTCAGTATAATACAGTTATATAGTCAATATCCAAATGTATTTTAACCATCACGTACTGTTCCGTTTACAACTGATATACGCAATAATTAAAGATTATAGTACCAGAAACCATGACTAAAGAAATAGAAGCCCTGAATAAAATAACCGATTAAATCCCATTTTTCCTGAATTATCCCATATTTCATTGGATTTTTAATCGTACAGTTGTTTCTATTATACGTACGTAGAATGTATGTGAATTGAAGAGAATAGAAAATTCTAAGCTAATTACATTCTGTTTGGTCTTTCGCTATAGTAGCGCCTAAACCGCTTCTCCTCCCCCTCCTTGGTATGATGTTCTCATGGTTGATTATTACCCTCATATTATTGGCGTATCCCATTCATCGATATAAGTTTTATTTAGTGTATATAAAAGAAAAGCAAAGATACAAAACACAGTTACTTTGTAGTTTGTGAAGACGCCTGTTCAATCATTGTACTCATTCATCCGTACTTTTCGACACATCTTCATTGTAGTGCTCGCCATTTCGATTGATAGTTTTATTACATCGATGAACAATCGGTCGACATATTGGTATAACTAATAGTTTAAGAAATAAAAAAGCAAAAGCAAATAATTCAATACATAATGACGTGAACAAAAGATTATGAAAGATTAATTCGGGAGCTCGTACGATTGGTTGTTGGATATTTTTCATATAAAATGGATGTTCATCAAACATGACCTGCAAAACGGTTAATGATGACGTATAACGTAAATAATTTCCATATTCAGTATAATAATCTTCATCAGAAAGTGATACTTCACTGAATGTCGGCATCCATATACCTGAGTACACTGTGGGATCTTTCGTATCCAGCGCTTGTGTCACATTGATATTTTTAACGAAGACAATTGGCACATAAGTATATCTTCCTATGACTTGGTTCGCTGTCATATAGAATTGACAAAAATCAAGCTCACGTAATGTATAGGCTCCATTTGTTTCACCTTGACCTCGAACACATAGACGAATGCCGCCAATTGAATATGGGCCAGTCATGTTGACTTGTATCGTAGTTAAATGTTTTGGCAACGTGATTGTTACTGATGTTATGGCTATTTCTATTGATCGATGACAATCACTTGGTAAGACAACATATTTCGAAGTAAGAAGATTTTCTTGCACCGTAATAGAAGAACATGCAAATCCCGTATTGATTAATTCTACTGTTAAATTAAACGTTTGCTTATCAAGTAGATTGAAAATCGGTTGAGCTTCGTTGGATTTCGGGATAGTGAGAAGTTCAAGACCTGTTGAAAATTGTGCATTAATCAATGATTCGTCACAGGCAAATGTAGCTGGTTGGAAAATATTCTCAATTGGATAGCGACGAATAAATGAAACTGAAAACCAATACGTAAACGCGGCCAGAACAACAATAGCAAATGTTGCTAAGCCACCAAGCCACATCTCACCTTCATTGATAATATCCGTATGTTTGAAGACTATCTTCGCTCTCCCGTGACATCTCATGCACGATGTACAATTGAATAGATGAGTTAGAAGAATAAATGTCAAATATAAAAGACATAAGCCACCGACTACGAGTGCCCAGAAAAGAGGAGAAATAAGTACACAATGCGGTTTCGAATTGATTTGAAAGACATTCTCTATGAGAAAATCTTCAATGTCGGTTGCATCTGTCGTTTCAGGATAGGGTACTGCTTGACTGTACGAAGCTGCCGTAGTGAAATTGATTTCCGATAATGACGCCAGTGGGCAAGATGCATTCGATGAACATGACATACATTGAGAAATTCCAGTAGAAGATAGACTTGGATTTCGAGTGCCTGGAGGACAAATGCTACAGGGGCCTAAACTTGAACGATTCTTGTACGTGCCGCCTATACAGATAGTTGGTATGTAATAGAATGAAAAAGTTCGTTTCGTTGTTTCATTCCATGTCGAAACGTAGCCCGTAGATGCAAGAGGAATAATCAGCATATCGTCATTACTAGTAATCATGCCCATATTACCTCCAGTAGTTATCATGAAACGAGCGATTTTTGGGCGTAGTAAACGAGTGCCCATGATTTGTTGATTATTAGGAAAAGTGAAGAACGGAGATGTTATTGTCACTAGATCTTCATCATAAAAGAATATTTGTGTGGTTGACCAATCTGTTTCATATGCATCATCAATTAAAATAGCTATTGTTGTATCGTCAGACCAATCGACAACGCGACCAATGGAAGGAGAAGACATGAAAGATAATAGATGTGTTCGAGTCACATTCAATGACGATCCAAAATGACAAAGAATGACAACTGATGAAAGACGAGGGATTCCGATCAGTACCTTCTGGCCACGGATAGCGACTGATAGTTCATAAAGTTCATTGTATGAAATGACATTTGACGGAATCAAATAGGACGTTTCAGATGTGATCGGTACACAGGAGGCATTGATTAACTGAGAAAGATCAATCAAACACCCAACTGTTTGATAAAGTGCTCGATATGTACCTGTACGAAAATAAATGAATATAACATGTAAAACTACGCACCTATTCTCACCTTGAACGAGAAGATATTCGTATCCGTAGCCAGCCACAACTGCCCATGTATCGGCAACATCTAGAGCGTGTGGAATGAAACTCTGAGATGGCCACACATCATCCGTAGTCAGATTTAGAACGATCTCATTTGCATAAATATCCAATTTAAATACAAATTCACTTGTAAATCCATAGGCATGTGTGCTATTTGTATCAACACCAACTAGGAAATATTCTGGATGGTATCCATTCCTACCAAGAACTGTGCATGAATAACTTGCGGCACATGTTGATTTCGTTACCGTAACAGTGCACACATATGGAGTGATCGTTGACATTTTCTCCGCAGTGAAAACATACATAAATTGTTCAGAATTTGTACTGTTTTTTGTCACACCTACGACGGCTATACTACGAACGAAGAAATCACTTGTACTATAGATAATATTACAAGAGATAGGTTCGCCTGCGGTAGCATTTCTGAACGGATAGAGGAGAACAGCGAAATTGATAAAAGCATTCGAAGCGGTAACAAACATATCATCGTTAACAGACATTCGAGTGTCTCGAGTAACATCAGCGAGATCGTATTGACACCATGAAACAGAACAATAGATAAGGAACAGAAAAAAAACATAAATCGACATTTCTGTTTAGGTCTTCAGTACATTTATATTGCAGATTAAAAACAAAACGAGTTATAAGTATAGTTTTGTTTGTCCTCATTTTTTTCAAAAAGAAATATTCCGATTATTCACTGAATATCGACATACAGATTTCATACGTTTGAATTATTCACAAGAGAGTAGCGATTAAAAATATTAATAAAATGGAAGCAAACATACGATTTTCTGTGTGAAGCTGAAAAAGGGCCATGACATTTTATTTTTAGTACACAAAAGAACAAGCGAGCTTGCAGTTTAGAATTCGAATGTGTAAGAAGGTCATTGTCTGCACGAATAGTCACGAAAGTGCTCACATTTTCACTTTCTATAAAATTTATGATAAGAGCGAATGGGCAACTGAGGGAATCAAGAGGTAGTCCTAAATCGCCAGTGACAGGAGCATTCTAATGCATTGATTATCTAAATTTTGTTTTTAATAAATACCATATCCGTTCTATCGCTGATATTCTTTGCGGTGACACATATTGGCTATTTCTCGAAATCAAGAAATCTGTCGTACTCATCTGAACTTCATTTAATTTACCAGCTCCGTGGATTCGAAACTTATGCATCAAACATTTGAGCGAGACACTGATGAATTTCATTTGTATAAAGTAGATTCAACTTGTATACAAATGCCAGATAAATATGATCTACGTTGATCAAAAATTCATTCAAAGATGACATCCATGCACTCGAAAGCATTTTGATATGTTTTCTGCAGGTTAACAGACAATCGACTTAATAGATCATCTAACCTTTCAATGATAATGAAAAAATTCGAAATGACATCATATCTGTAATCATGTAGTATGTAAAAGGACGAGTCTGTCTAATCGTACATAAGAATATGATACTCAGTAGTTATATAAGAAAATATTCAAGTTATTGCCCTTCAATAGTTTTCAGCTTGTCCGAAGATTAGAATCAGTAATTGTCGATTCATTCGTTGAACAGCAGATGTTTGTTGGCTTGAGACAGCAATGGCATCAATATGGTTTGTTAATCATCGTAGACAAATCCATGTAACAATTCCACAAATCAACATTAACCACAACATAAACATCGAGAACAGTTGTACCAATTCCAGCTGTTGATACACACATACAATTACGAACATCATAAACAATCAGACAAAAGATACTCGAAATCAAGACAGATACTACTACTACGATGAAGATACGTTTCGCAAATGACATGGAGCTTAACAATTGCCAACGAGCATTTCGTGATATTGATGCCATTGCAGGCAAACATATAACGAAATGATAACGTATTTTACACAACACACGATTCGTATATAAAACACAACTTCCAGAGAGTTGCGCAATTAAACGACTGATGATACCGAGAACGAGAAAACAAAAGAATCACCAATAGAACAGCAAATCACGTAAAGTACACAAGATTTTGTTCGAAAATCTTTTGATAAAAATGTAAGAATATGAAGAAAAACTTTCAATCGTTCCCTTAATGAATATGGTAAAGAAACTAGCAAGAACCATGTATAGTATGTTATTCGAGTAGAAGCTGAATAGATTAGATTCAATATGAAGAGATAAAATGAAGAAGTGATGTATTATTGAGTTGTTCTTCCATAAAGTTAGGTGTTAAAATAAGGAAGAAAAATGCTAGAGAAGTACGGATTAAATATTGAGTTCCATATGATCTTCCCTGTCTATATGACATTGCTCATCTATAATATATCATATTTCATCAGATTTATAAGAAGAGCTCCTATTTTGAATAATTTTCTTTCTTAAATTTCTGTTATTGGCAATGTCGATGAACAGAACATATTGAATGTGATCATTTAATTTATTTAAAATAAAATTTTAGCGCAATATATGTATATACATAAGTTATAGTTCATTGTTGCTTATTCAAAGAAAGCGAACATGGAGCTATTTGAACACATTTACCATTGACACACTTGGAATCAGCGCAAAGTGGATATGTTCCATTGGGACATGTCGCTTCACAGTAATCAGGATGAAAGCATGAATTACATTCTTGAGTGGTATTTTTTATTTCCTTTGAGCATGGACTAATTATGTGACAACTTCCATGAATACACACTGATTGAGCACAGAATGGCCCATAACCTATTTTGCAATCTTCGCATATCATCGGATGTGCGCATTGGCTTGCATTTGTGCATTGACAAATCGAACACGGACCAACACTTCGACATGTATTATTAACACACTTGGCTGATGCACAGAGAGGACCACAACCCGAAGGACATGATGCACGACAGAGCTCTGAATGAGGACATCTGTTAGGCATACATGATGTTGAAGAAGGATCGATGCTTGCAGGTGCACATTCAATAACGATTACAACACAGAATAAGCAGAATATAATGCGTACTGCAAACTTAAACATGATCGAGTGCATTTTATGTTTGGAGTAAAATAATGAGTGAATTATTACTCTATTTATATTCGTTTCTTTATTTATAAATAGAATTTACGTCTATCAATATATTTAATATTCATTTTTATCATAACTGCTGACATCATAGAGCATATTGTATTCGTTGCTAACGCCGAAATATGACTCATTAAAAGAAATACACGCCTATTTATTTGCGTCACACTTTGTACACCTTTGGTTTGTACAAATGCATTTGTTATTATTCACTATTTATAATCAACGAAGTAAGAAGCAACATTTATTATAAATTTTGAAGATCTATGTATAAGTAATATATATATATATAAATCAGAAGCAAATACATTCATAGAACAAAGGTAAGTACTTAATTATCTCTATGAAGCTGAAAAATAAAGAAGAAGTGATCCTGTAATCTAGAATTCGAAGATGTAGAAAAGACATTTCGGTCACGATCGTGGTCACACTAACGTGACACTCTCCAAGTTTTGATTGAATGTTTAAATTCGTTTTTATATAGTTCCGAAGGTAGAACGAAAATGATGAAAATAAGCATTTAGGAATAAATGAAATAAAATATGCTGAAAGCAATAACCAAGGATCTCGTGATGATTTCATACAAGTAGACATCAGTGAAATGACCAAACGTGGTACTGATAAAATGATAATTATAATCGGACTTATTAAGATATGTTTATGTTCAAGAAATTCTTTAGATAAATGCTGAAAATATGTTTGACTCTTTTGTGCTGTACTTCGTAAACACCTTATATTTATAATAACATACAAAGGTGAACATAGATTGATTAAAAATGGGATAAGAAAATGAATCCAAATGATTGTTGAATTGTAATTTTGCAAGAAATGGTTGTAATGAGTAACGCACATTGTGCGTTGCCCCTCGGGATCAATAAATAGATTTCGATAGATTAGTTCATGAAGAAATGTTAAAAGAATTATCATTGGTAGAAGAAAACAAATTCGTTTCGCTATTTGTTTACTTTGAGTTTTATTAAATTTCACACCGTGAAATATGGTCATCGCACGTTCGATGGCAACACATGCATCGAACCATGTATCCGTCGCAAGAAAAATTTTAAGTAAAGGTTCAATGGATTTACAACCAATGTAGAGAATAAGAGAATTTTCAATAATATTTAATTGAGAAAGAATAAAATACAAAAATTTGATGATTAAAATAGCCATTGTTAACATTGAAGTGATCGATGATGAGAAAAGATATAAACCACTACCGACTTTTTGCGAGTTTTCTCTTCGAAAAGTGAGAGAAGAACAAATTCCGTTTATTAGACCAAAGAAAAAGATGATTGTTGTTAAAACTAAACTTGCTCTAATCGAAAATTTTTGTTGAGAAATATTTAATTGTGAATCAATTTCATATCGAAGAATATCATCAAGTGTTAAGCCGAATCCTTTCGCGTAAAACTGACATTGTGTCCCAAAATAACAATCCGAGCAAATACAAATGATATTTGATGGACATTGAGGATCATCTTGTAAACACATTGCATCATTTTGACAATAGTTCTCATTTGAACATTTAAATTCGCTTTTATGAGCAAATTTGAAACAATTCGGATAATTTTCATTCGTACATGTACACATATACAATTCATCATAGAAACACATAGGCTTACTCTCATTTTCACGTAGTAACGGATAGAATTTCACTCGTTGTATCAATGGTAATGATGCAATAGTTGAATTGAATAATTCATCTATAGAATTACATCGTTGCCTAGGGTTGATTGATGTTGATATATCATCGAGTGAATATTGTTGAAGCACAGCTAAATAATAAAGTGTTTGAATTCGAACAAAAACTATGTGATACGAAATAAAAAGATAAAACGAAACGAAGTTTTGTTGATGAAGTAATTTCTTCACTAAAACTAGGTTCGTTGGTTGAGATTGATTTGATATCGTAGTCACATAAACTTGAATATAAGATGGAATGTCCATTTCATGGAAAAAGATGGTTAACCTATCTTCCGTCTAGTTGAACATCCTATGGTAGACATGAAACCATTTGCAACGGTTCATAATCCAATAATTGAAGTCCTTGGACACCTAGATTAAACTAACAATTAGCTATTTTGGCCGTTTTTTCTTGTTCTGCTACTTGTGAAGAGATTTTCGTCAAAGTACTATAAATGCGAAGTTGTTTCGTATTCAAATTAAAAGTACAACGATGGATATAGACAGTAAATGCATTACTATCAGCTTTGACAATCGGTACAAATTTAGTTCCTCGTAAATTATAGGAGTTTTCATGTTCATGCTCGCCAAGAATAAGATCGATTTGTGGAACACTCGTTGCAATATCAATATCAGTTTGAAGATCTAAATGAGCAATGGCAACAACGATATCGTACGTATCATTCACGAACGAAGTTAAAAAATTGTTTTTTACAATTGGAAAGTAACGGCTGATCAACGAATCGAACATAATCGACAGGTTCATTGATCGTCAAACCGATTAAAAGAATTCTAACACCATCGATGGTGACTATTTTATGTGAAATATTTGATCCAAATGGAAGAAATTTATGGACACGAAATACATTTGAACTTATCCAGGTAAATACTGATTCATTGATACGAGTAAATAACTTTTCCTCAGTTAAATCAAATTCATGATTTCCAAACGTCATATAATCAAGTCCTAATGTGTTTATTGTTGAAATCATTTGTTTTCCATGTAAGCTGTCCCATTCATCTTAATTGTTCCAATGAAGCGAATATTATTGTTAAAATAATAAATCCATCTGGAAAACAAATACTTCGACAACGATGCGCAATGCTATACCACATTTATACTAACCTACCAAGAAACGATCGAACGAACAAGGAGTATAAACTTTACTTATTCATATTTGACATAGACAAAAATATTTTCGTTTTAGCACTGCACGTGTCTTTGGTTTCTTTTTTTTATAGCATGCTCTATTGTATATAAGTGTAAGAAGGTTTCATTGAAGCCAATGACATCAGATTATGCATAACGAATCAACGTATTTTACCGTTTATCACCGAATATGTTCTATTCAGAAATAACATGTCACAAATGCATCTTCTCATGACAAAATAGTAGACCATTATGAACACACAAGTAAGTAATTCTATATTTTCGACTGAAAATATAAAAAACAGATTTAATATGGATCAATATGTACTTCAGAATTAATCAATATTGTTTTTTGTCAAGCCATACCCTTGTCCTCGACTCGGAACAATTATTTCTTGACGAACATTCATGTATGTCACAAGAACTCAATAAGCCATCTATTGATCAAAGTTATCCTTATTCCATTATCTCGTAGTGAATGATACCATGAGCGGAAAATAATCTCACGGAAAGATATTGAGAATTTTTTTAACTATATCTGTTCCACTCCAAAAAATATCAGTGAAGTAGATTATACGTCTATACGCAACTCGCAGGGCAATAATTAAATATATCTCAACGATACGATAAGGAACTCAGTGGATCTTCAATTTTTACCATTTTCCTCATCAATCGAATACTTCGCAGATTTCTTCATAATCATGTTATCATAATGGTCCTTTTCATGAGGTTTATCGTTATGATGATGAATCTGATTTGGTTTGTTCACTTTTATCGTACTCATGCAATATTACTATTAACATCTATGTCTTGTGGTATATGAATCTAAGTCGATTTCGCTCCTTTGACGTCAATCTTAATTTCTACGGATTGAGCATCAGTTGAGTGACATATTTTGACTTTTTTATCAAGATTTTTGTTCCGAAAGCAATGATACAATGATTTCGATGGAAAAATTATCGAAAAATGATATTACAATCAGCAGCAACTTCAACTCTTTGTCAAATTTCTTGGTCTTATTTACATGGTCACTGCCATCATCTGGTTTACTCACTTTTATCGTACTCAGTCGGCATTAGTAGCATCACCCAAGTTTTGCCTCATATGGGTATACTTAGACTTCGCTCTTACGATCACAACAACAATTCTGGCAGCTTGGGCATCGATTGAACGACATATTCTAATTTTTCATAAAAATCTCATTTCAACACCACTCAAACGTTGGATTTTTCATTATTTTCCGTTAATTATCTTCACTATTTATCCATTCATTTTTTATATTGTTGGATTTTTTGTTCTACCTTGTCCTTTTCCATTTAACTACAAGGCAGAGCGGCGTGCACTCGAGGGTTGCACCGGGTATAATGAAAAAATATCAATGTGGGATAATTGGGCAAACAATGTTGTACCAGTTTTACTGATCATTATCTTTAGTATTTCTTTGATTGCTCGTGTGTGGTATGGAAAATATCGAATGGGCCATCGATTTCAATGGAGAAAGTATCGGAAAATGTTTTTTCAACTATTATCAATCTTTACTCTCTACTTTGTTCTATTCCTACCAGCGATGATTTTATATGCAGCTTATGCACTTGGTCTATCTTATTTCCTTTTCTGAAAGAAAGGGTTATACAGCGTTTAAATGCTGTGCTAAAAAGCTTAAAGTTTGTCTGTCTGCCCTATCCAATCAGAAATCAGCATTTCTAAAATCAATGAAATTGATCGATCGTTGTTAGAAAATGATTATCGGTAGGATAATCGAGGTCGGGGAACTTGAATCTGAGGTTAGATTTAACTAATTATTAACTGTTAATTAACTAGCTGTCAACTAGCCACAAATTATTAATATGCAGGGTAAGGGTTGACCGAAGGGTAATCGAGATCAAGGATCTCGAATCCGGTGTTAGTTTTTTTATGAACACTTTCTAACCCGTTTTTTGCGACAAAGGATCAATTTTTTAGACGATAATGTTTTTAGCGGCAATATGTAGAGCAAAATGTAATAGCTGACTGACGTCCGATCGCTGGATCTCCATAGTCATAAGCATATTAATGAGATCACACACTTTTATAAACAGCTATACTATACCAATATCATCGGATGCCAGTCATTTAAATAATGTTTCGCTTGTCAGGTGTTATCTTCGACAGTCACAGTAGCACAAAGAGGGTGACTTTTAAAGAAGGAAAAGAGGAGAATGAATGGATTAGTTTCAAAAGTGGCTCTAGACTAAATGGAAGAGTGAGAATGTTCATGTAACGGCTAGCCGCGAGTGGCCGACCGGAGGGAGGCCGACGAGCGACTAGTCGTCGATTTGCAGAATAATATTTTTAAGAACAAACTTTGTGATTTTTATAGAGCTTTAAGACTTCTTGGTCAGAAATTAATCGTTGCTCTGCAGGAACATAGCTAGCAGCTATTTAAGGTTCCTCGTGGTGGAGAGAAGATTGAAACCTTTTCCAGAGAATCATATACCTATGTAAAGCTTCTAAGTTTTGGATTATGAATTGATTTTCCGAAATGTGCTTATTTTCGGAACGCGTCTTCGTCTAAGTGAAGTTAAGATAGTAAAGTGAGTACGCATGGGAACAGCTAGCCGTGAGTGGCCGACGAACGACTAGTTGTTTCTTTTGAAAATTAGTTGAAAAGTGAGATTTATAAGACTGTCGCAAAGTGTCCATAATTTTTCTAAAGTATATATATGACATCTTTTCGAGCTTCGAGAAAAAACTATGTAGATCACCAACTCATTCAACTAAAAATGATAATAAAAGATATACTGTAGATCACGAAGTTGTGAAGAATTTCGGCAACTTTGCTAGAGACGGACTCAACAAGAACGAGGTACTTTTTAATATTAGAATATTATTAAACACTTATTAGGCACCAACGGCTAGCGGTGAGTGGCCGACCGGAGGAAGGCCGACTAACGACTTGGCGTTTAAATTCCAGATGAATCTTAAAGTGTACACTTGGAATAGCCTTATCAGGCTTCAACGATTTTTGAAAAGGATTTGGCAAATGTATATTCCTCAATGAAAATATTGGAGAATGCNTTCCATTTCCAAGTGCTCTACCGTTCGTATTTCGACTTACATACGTTAAATTGATAGGATTGGTGATATTCACGGCAAATAAAAACACTCGATTGATGAATTGCATTCCGACGAGGACATCGCCGTTTTCATTAATACTAGCAGACATATCATATTTAGCTGAATATGTATTCGCATCTGAATTAGTCAACAAAGCTTGCCAAGTGCCGGGTGTTGCTACTGGTTTATATTCATCAACAACTATCGGATGACCAGATGAATTAAAGTTAATCAAATAAATCACCGGATCATACTGTTGGTTTGTGCTGTTAGCACGATAAATGAATCCAGCGATTACTCCAAACTTCTCGCTAATATCAACTGCATGAGGAACAAATGAAGCGTCTGGCCATGTTAAATTACCATTCCATGATTCCAACGTATCAGTGCTCTGGGCTTCAAATATCAACACAAACTCATTCGAAAATCCATACGCGATAAGACCTCGTGGATCAACACCAAGTATGTAATGTTTCTGATAATGGGAACTGTGCAAATATTGTAGATGATACGACAGATTCAAGCTGCATGGTAATGATTCTTTTTCTGTACCATTATACTTGACCAGACCAATAAACGCACCAACTTGATCGTTAACTGATTCGCCAACAAAGAAAAAATGTCTTTCAGTCTGTGTTTGCCTTCTACCGACACCAACGCTGTGAACGTAATGATTTGTCAGATTTGGAAAATAAATGAAGCATTCTAACGATTCTTCGATATTTTCGTAAGGTGCAAAATGAAGGAGAAATGTCGATGGATTTTTATCATTTTGAACTTGAACAAGAAAATGATCGTTGAATGCTGTCTTTGAACCATATGCATCATAATCATTCTTATTAGGAATGAAATCTCCAGTTAGATGATCAATGAATAATAGAATTGGAAGCCAGAGAATCATATCACAACTGAATATTCCTCGTTGACAACCTTGCAAAAAATACACACGTGCTGTAAATGAGTAGTTTATTGAAGGATACGATGATATCAAAAATAATTGTTTGCCGTTTGCTTTTCTTTTACTAGCAAAAATTGTGTTGAATAGTTGACGAAAGGAGAAGTAAAACGATCTGCTTAAAATCAGTAAATAGAAATGCGTGCTCATTTGCTTTCGACGCTCGAAGATATTTGACGATCGTGACAAATCTCAAATTTAATCACAGTGAAAAGTGTTTGCACTTATTCAAGAGTTTTTATCCAATCAATCAGATGTCGAATGCTCAAAAGTTTTCCAACATGGTGATATATCTGCACATTCAGTTGTCACCTTCTTCCGCAACCAACAGCTAATCGAAAATATTTCTTCTTTTTCTTTGATTCATAAAGAATTTTTCATTCAAAACCATGTTAGAGAGAAACCAAATTCGCTCAGATAGTCCTTGCAGTATACTATTCGTTTAAGACGGAAAGGCAGACTATTTCAAATTGTGCTCGAAATATCGGTCGAAAAGATCGCAAATCTGTTTGCACAGAATCTTGAATGATTCACATTTGCACTGGAAACCAAATTCGATTCTTCAATAAGGCTACTTTGATACAGTTTCACCATTATTATTCATAGAAAAAGAATTTGTTATTCGCATTGCTATGTTTTTCTACCATTGTTCGCCTCAAGTATGTTTCCTTTTGTAGATACGAGCATTCGCCATTTAGATATTGTCATGTTACACTCTAAAAGCATTTTAAATGCATCAAAAATTGAATAACTTTTTTTGTCTTTCTGCTCAAAGTTCATTTACATGTAATAATACGCCTACTCTCCATAACATTCTAGAAGCCTAACAGAATTGTCACATTTCATTTTTTTTCTTTGCTCAAATGCCAGCATGATCGTAAGGGTAGAAAGATACACAAAACACTGCGAAATATTTTTATATCACTTTACTAATGTGCAATTAACAGCATTTCTCTCTCCTTTTCTAGTGTCAGAGCTAGTAATCGGAGGGAATATAAAATAACAATATTTTATTAGTGAGCATTCATACAAAAGTAAGGGCGAGTAATATGTTAAAAATCTATCTTCTTCTCTCGCTAATCATTCAAACTCATTGTATTTTTCTTAATGTGGCGAATAAGTTACGCATCGTGGGCAGATTTGATCAAATATTATACAGCAGAACGAGAGAACAATGTATATGTACCATGTTGAGTTCAAATGGAATGATCTCATCATTAAATTATTTGTCAACTAATCAAACGTGCCAATTATTTTACGCCAATGTTACTACAGTTGCGTTTGAATTTGATGTAGCTTCATCCTTAATCTGTATGAATGGATCGGTAGTGTTATCAATGCTTAGTAAGTTCTTTTTTGTGAAACGCGACCTCACAGAGAGCATTAAAGTGTATAAAAATAAGAGGCAGATTGCGCCTGATGAAGAAAACATTTATGAGGAAGTGTCAGATATCGTTTTTTGAGAATGATATGACACTTGCAATTGTGTAGCCGTAATAAAGTAAATTGATCATTCTATGTATGGGAATGTTAAGGACTGGCTCATGTTCTACATTTTTAAGCCGGTTAGGGAGTGTGTGCTGAGAGAAAGTCGATCTTTTTATATAAACGATTAACATTCAGTCCCTGTATTAGCTACTGTCGTCAAAATGTTCATGATGTTTCCGTATGTCTAAGGGAAACTCGCGATGGGAATTGCTTTTAGTCTGTAATATATAAAACATCAAATGTCTTCGCTAATTCTTTGAACATAATACTCTGCAGAGTACCATTCATAAATGTTTATTAATTCGTAAGAAAGTTGTTTTAAAAATACTTCTTTTTCAGGTATGACCAGCAATACAACAGTATCCAAGTAAGTCTTAATCAAAGCATACGACTCTTCGCGGCAGAAAACGCAATCTTTGATACTTTTTGAAAAAAGCCTATTTCCAGAATTTTTTTAATGTACGATCCGATGATAGACAATAGCTTTATTGTCGAATATGTGGCATGTTTGGAGAGGGAGAAGACTTGTTTTTTTGAATCTTCGCGAAAATCAGGTCAGTAGTCGACTTTGGATACACATTGCATTTTTGTTATCGAGTCTTTGTGTGATCCGATCGTTAGCGATAGATTTTGCTGACAAAAGAGAACAAACTGAAACGTTGATTATGACAGATTTCTATTATCTTTAATCGATAATGTCTCAATCCGATTCATTCAATATGGCATATTATTAAATAAGAATGCTGTTAATAGTTGTTTCTTCTTCTTCTTCTTTTTACTAATGTCTTGAAAATTATTGCTTTATTTTTTATACGATAATCAGTGTGTTTGTGTATATATATATTTAGCACAACAACAGTTTCACAATGCAATATCACAGCGTGTCGTGTGCGAATTCAAAGTTATATTGCACTAAATTTGACATACGACACAATAAATTTTGCTGAATGCAATGGCTGCTCCCGAGCGAATTTCTCAAATTTCCCGTCAGACTGGTCAAATAGATGGTATACTGTGAACTTTTATATCTACTCTTCAAGCAGTGTAGATTGTAATGGGAACCCATATACCGGCGATCTACCGTTTTGTAAAAAAGCATGTTTGACAGACATTACGTGCGTCGGCTTTTCTAGAGCTAAGAACGCTCTAGATACTGACTCGACAGCAGATTGTTATTTGAAACGTAACATTACGGTAAGTCGAATATATAATGATACCACATGGCAATCAGTGATTTTCAACAGCACCACATAGATTATTCAAAGAACGGACATCATCAAAGGCATAACACTAGTTTGTGCGTTTTCTTTGTTCCCTTTTCATATGTTTGCAGTGTTTAATTCAAAGCCTCACTATTTTCACTGTAGTTCTTGCATTAATACTTTGCTTTCGTAATTCTGTTTTGTTAAATAGATGGAGAAAAAACATCGTCAACATTCTTTTCACATCATGAAGGGAAAGCGAAATTCTTAACTGCTTTGATTGAACTCGAGCTTCAGTTTTCCATCTAGAAAACAAATGCTTAACATTGAATTTAGCTGCAGTATTGATAACATCCATGAAGCTAATTTTCTCTCTTGATATTTTATTTAACACTTTATCAAAATTCTCTATTTACTTCATTTTCAGTCATTGATCGTGACAAGAGAACAACGTATCGTTGACATACGTGATAGTCTCGCGTTGAGCGATAGTGACTTCCTGCAGATATCGTTATTCTCTCAGAACAAATACAACAGACATGTTGTTTTATAAATAATCAATACGAGAAATTTATATCTATAAATATCATCGCTTTCATCTTTTTATTTCTATCCTGAAAAAAAAACAACAGAAGGCAATGTTAAAGTTTAGCTGGATTTTATTCGAAATTCAATTGATACATTTTAATCTGTGTTCTGCACGCATCCTCCTTTACGACACAGAAGACAGCGCTTTGGAGCAGTTCGATTGCATACACTACACCGCCTACGGAGAGCGAGTTTCCTATTGTCGTCGAGTACTCACGGAAACGTTCACGATTGGATGGGAATATACTTCGTGTCTCAACGATGGTACTATGTGGACTTTTAAAGAATTACTTGACGGAAAAAAGAAGCCAAGCGATGTACTAAGTTGGAGTTCGAGTGTTGAAAGGGCAGATAATTACGCTAGTCTTTACTATAATCGTTCCTGGAAATGTAGTGAATGTTGGTTATGCCAGTGCAAACCAGGAACGTTCGGTACTTTTTGTCAATATCAACTTACTCATGAAGCTCATTCATTTGAAGAAAGCATCAAAGCACAATTTCAACAGAAAGAATCTGATCGATGGGGTATTCAGCAGCACGGTAATATTCTTTGTTATGTAACACTAAAATGCAATCATGGTCAATTGTGCTTGGATTGGAGAGACATCTGCGACGGTTACCAACAATGTATGCACGGTCTCGACGAAGAAAACTGTGATTTACTTGAATTCAATGAATGTGAAGTAGATGAATACCGATGCGACAATGGAATGTGTATTGCTGAAGAGTTTTGGCTTGATGGAGTTCTCAATCCTTTCAATATCACTGGAGACAACACATATCCAAGTAAGGATCTATCTTACCGAAACATTTCCTGCATATTTCGAATCATTTTAGTTGAAACAGATTGTATGGATTGGACGGATGAGACTTGGGGACGCAGCGGCTATTGGTGTCCTACAAATCCACGTAATATAGAATGTGATGAACATATAACACCGCTTCATGCATGGTCCTGTGGAGATGGTCAGTTTATCGAATGGAAAGAGCGCATGAAATTTCAACAAATCATACCACCAGATGATACGTGTTATAATCTGAGAAATCTATATTATCTATGCGAATTAGCTCGACCTCAGCCATTATGGACGTTTAGGAACGGTATGTGTAACAATCAAGTTGGGTATGATGATCTATCGCGGGATATGAACATGCAATTAGACAATACAACAAGATGTACGTACGTTATGCGATGCGGATTATCTAACGGATTTGAACGTGATTGCCCTTGCAATTATAAAAATTGTTCATCAATACTGACTACTGTTTGTAACAGAGAATTAATCTATACGTTATCAGCAAGCATTATTCGACCATATATACAAGGATATTATCATTGGGCTGATAAACAGGACTGGACTAATCCAGCGATGGATGAATTCCGACTCGATGGAGCCGTCAAATGTCGAGGATATGAGGCATCAACTATTACACCATTTTCCATTGTAAGTCACGCAATAGATAAAGCTGAAGGTATTCTGTGCTTTGATAGAGATCCGCTTATTAAACGTAATTACACATCAAAGCATAAATTTCATGAGTCGTGTTGGAGCAATGAATCATTGACGTTCAATAATCGACGTTACGCCTTCGTTGATATCTGTACCTCAGGCAGACGTAAATGCATTTCACAATATCGAATTCAAAACAAAATTTCTGATTGCACTGACTCTCAGGATGAAGATGCATCATTAACATTGGAAAATCTGTGTTGGAATCTTCGAAAACATCGCTTCCGATGTTCTTCTCAGCAACCTTCCTGCATCAGTGTACAACATTTTCATAGCGGATATGCTTTATGCAAAAATCTGTTCGATGAAAACTTATATGGCACAGGTGTCAAATTAAACACTATTGCTTGTCTCTTTAGAGAAGATCCCAACTGCTCATTATTGAAAAAATACATTAGCAACTCGTGGATGAATATTTCGAAAGAGAATGATCCAGTCGCAGTGCATCCTAGTAAACCGACTACTCGTCTACAGCATCATTACTATTGTGATACTATCTGGCAGTTGCCTGACCGATCAGACGAATCGAGCATCTTTTGTAAAGACTGGATATGTTTACCCCATCAGTATCAATGTAGAACAGGACAATGCATCAGTCTGGCTTGGGTTTGCGATGGCGAATGGGATTGTTCCGATGCATCCGATGAAGAAGCCATAGTTCTTAATCAACCATGGTCGAGTCACAATGAACGGCTGAACTCGACTCTAGCTGAACGCGTTAAGAATTGTGTGATGCGATATTCCAAACAACTATTTTCTAACTTATGCAATGCTTTTGAATATCCTTGCTATCCAGCAAATATAACAAAACTGTCGGATGTTCTCAACGGCACTCAACGCCCCTGCATCGATTTGAATCAAATTGGAGATGGTGTTTCCGATTGCTACATGAGTCTTGATGAAAGAAATTTAGTTTCCATCCGCGATAATAATGAAATGCTCGGATTTAATTTTCGCTGTAGTGGAAATTCCTACGAACGATATCCATGGGCTTGTCTAGACCAATACTCGTGTTTTGATCCTATACTATGTTCGTATAAGAGCTGGGATAAAACATTTTGTTTCGGTAGGACAGATGTCGTTTGTTTCAATAAAACATGCGCAATACACGCACGATGCGACGGTGTCCATGATTGCTTACCTCATGGCAAAGATGAATATTGGTGTGCTCCGGAAACTGCAAGGTACTCATTACAACCATATCGTCAAACTAAAACGCTAGTACCAGCACAACGATACTTGCATTGGTTTCTCTTTCCAACACCACATGCACCCCGTGTTATACCAAAGTTAAATAAACAATCTGACCATTTCTATGCACATTCTTATATATGTAATCGTGGTGTTGCTATAATAGATCATAACCGTACGATTTTCTGTTTTTGTCCACCTGCTTATTACGGATTCAACTGTGAATATTTCGCCGATCGAATCACTGTTGTCACTCGACTAGATCGAACGACGTTACCGAAATTCCTTCAAAATGTTACATTGATAATTCAAACAACTTTGCTGTTTGATGGTAACGTCATAGATCATCACGAATTTTATTCCGATCCCGCTTTTGACGATAAACTTAAACAAAGATTCTATCTTATTTACTCACGTTCAAATGTCATGTTGGAACACAAAAAATCACGATATCTGAATCGATCAGATATTATCGAAAACCACCCGTACGCAGTTCACTTCGACGTTTATTACCAACCAAAGAATGAATCAGTGCCTGAAGAATTAGGCTCATGGCATTACCCAGTCTATTTTGATTTTCTTCCTGTACATCGGTTAGCACCTGTACTTAAGTTTCCTGCTTGGTTCAATGATACTACGAATTCTCCATGCCAAAACAATACTTGTCCACTGAATACTTATTGTAAACCGCTCTTCACGATTAATACCAATACGATGAAGTACTATTGTTCTTGTAAAAGTGGATTTTATGGCAAGAAATGCCAACAATATCAATCCAAATGTGAAACATATTGTGCAAACGATTCCATTTGCAAATACAAGCATCGTGGAATTTTGTCCAACACAGAAAATCCGTTTTGCATTTGTCCGTTGAATCGTTTTGGATCGCGATGTCATTTACGTCATGAGGAATGTGACGAAAATGTATGTCTGAATAATGGAACATGTCATGTGACTCGTGATCCAAGCGGAGAGCGATCATTTGTTTGTATTTGTTCGTCCTTCTTTTTCGGATATCGATGTCAAGAAGAAAGAGCGTCTGTTCGAGTTAAAATTGTTGATTTAACATTTACTCAACCAGTCGCGGTGCTTGCACAATTCTTTGATGTTCATAATCGTTCTTTCGAACTACAGTTTCGTCATCAAATAGTTTATACACATGTACCGACAACTATTCTTTACAATCATGACCAAACATTTGTTCCAACCATAGGCGTTCTTCAAATCTATGAGCACTCTTCAGAAACACCTTTATACTATATCATGTATATTCAATATTCGATTCCTCAAATCAATGTTACATCATCACCTGCTCATTGTCCAAATGTATCTAGTATCGTGACATTGCCATTCAGCGTTTACAAATATCATCATATCTGTCGGAATAATTCGAATTTATTCTGTTTCTACGATTTGTATTATCTTTGTATTTGTGAGCAAGATCACTACCGTGTGAATTGATTTCACTATGCAACTCATCCTGGACTTTATGGTTGTAATTTCTGTTTATCAAATGGTAAGTGTGTGAAAGGTTCCCCGCATCAATCGACTGATTTTGTTTGTGTTTGTCCTGCTTGTCATCAAGGAAAACGTTGTGAATATAGTTTACAAGCTTTTAGCTTTACTGTAGACTTTCTCTTCATGGATGATAGTATTAACATTCAATACTTTTATCTCGGATTTACCGGTGTATTATTTTTATTTGGAGCTTTCACAAATCTCTGTTCGTTTTGTACTTTTATCAGACCAAAACCGCGTAAATTGAGTGTTGGCAATTATCTTCTAATAGTTTCTATTCTCAATACATGTGCTATATTTTGTCTATTCATTGAATTAATACAATCATTAGGATTCACAAGTGATGTATCATGTAAAATAAGCAATTACCTTTTATCTGTATTTACTCGATGTACGTATTGGTTAACGACATGGATTACGATAGATCGCCTTCGTACTTCTCTGTCTCCTATGAATACGACTCTAAAGAATCCAGGGATCGCAATCTTCTTCAGTATAATCAGCCTTGTTTTATTATTTGTGATGGATGTACATGAACTTATCGTTTTTAAACAAATCAAACAATTTGATTCTTCTAAAACTCATTGCGTAATTGACTTAACTCAACCAATAATAGCTACGTATAATCGTATATCTACGATTTGTCATTATATTATTCCATTTCTGGTACAAGCCATTTCAATTAGTCTTCTCATACTATTTATTGCACGAAGTCGCGCGAAGACAACTGGACATAAACTTACATTTCGACAAGTATTGATGAAGCAATTTTATACTCAAAAAGAACTTTATATTACACCTACTATCATCGTACTATCAGCCTTACCTCAAATTATTTTATCAACTGTTTTAGCTTGTAATACAGAACTAAGCAATTCACAGCGGCATCTACTTCGAATCGGTTACTTACTTGCATTTACTCCTCAAGCATTGGGCTTCATTCTCTATGTACTACCATCTACTGAGTATACGAAAGAATTTTCACAAACATTTTTAGGTAAAAACCTGTTGAAAAATCAGTAAAACAGGAGACGATTGCACCATTGTTTGGACTGGGTATTTGACAGCAATAAAGTTTCGTAACACGATTTTAAAATAAAAACTATAGAATCCATCTCGAATCTGCTCGTTGAGAAATACGAGTGAGGATGTGCGTGTGAAAATACTACACGTGGATGATCGCTGAAAAAATTTGAAAATTAATAATACTATATGTTCAGCGAAATGTGTGATATCGATTGCACTGTTGTATTGAGAAATCGGCTACGCTCCTTGTGCAATTTCAATGATAATGAAAAAATTCGAAATGACATCATATCTGTAATTATGTAGTATATAAAAGGACGAGTCTGTCTAATCGTACATTAGAATATGATACTCAGCAGTTATATAAGAAAATATTCAAGTTATTGTTGTTCAATATAGTTTGTTAATCATCGTAGACAAATTTTGAATTGTTCTTCCATAAAGTTATGTGTTAAAATAAGGAAGAAAAATGCTAGAGAAATACAGATTAAATATTGAGTTCCATACGATCTTCCCTGTCTATGTGATATTGCTCATCTATAATATATCATATTTCATCAGATTTATAAGAAGAGCTCCTATTTTGAATAATATTCTTTCTTGAATCTCTGCTATTGACAATGTCGATGAACAGAACATATTGAATGTGATTATTTAATTTATTTAAAATAAAATTTCGGTGCAATATATATGTATATACATAAGTTATAGTTCATTGTTGCTTATTCGAAGTAAGCGAACATGGAACTATTTGAACACATTTACCATTGACACACTTGGAATCAGCGCAAAGTGGATATGTTCCATTAGGACATTTCGCTTCACAGTAATCAGGATGAAAGCATGAATTACATTCTTGAGATGTATTTTTTATTTTCTTCGAGCATGGACTAATTATATGACAACTTCCATGAATACACACTGATTGAGCACAGAATGGTCCATAACCTACTTTACAATCTTCGCATATCATGGGATGTGCACATTGACTTGCATTTGTGCATTGACAAATCGAACACGGACCAACACTTCGACATGTATTATCAACACACTTGGCTGATGCACAGAGAGGACCACAACCCGAAGGACATGATGCACGACAGAGCTCTGAATGAGGACATCTGTTAGGCATACATGATGTTGAAGAAGGATCGATGCTTGCAGGTGCACATTCACTAACGATTACAACACAGAATAAGCAGAATATAATGCGTATTGCGAANATGAAATGGACATTCCATCTTATATTCAAGTTTATGTGATACGAAATAAAAAGATAGAACGAAACGAAGTTTTGCTGATGAAGTAATTTCTTCACTAACACTAGGTTCGTTGGTTGAGATTGATTTGATATCGTAGTCACATAAACTTGAATATAAGATGGAATGTCCATTTCATGGAAAAAGATGGTTAACCTATTTTTTTGAAACTCACAGTTTAACCCATAAAATTCTTCGGAACAAATACACATGTAATTCTTCGTGCCGATGATATTATCTAATAAAACACATCTTCCATGATTTTGACAAGCATTTAATGGACATTTTGATGGTAGAAGACATCGGGGACCTGCTTTGTTCGCTGGACAAATACAGATCGATCGGTTTTGCAATGCTCCAACACAAATTGAATCTTTTGAACAATCGTTACAATTGATCACTCTTTCACATTGATTTCCGGAATAGTTTGAAAGACATTGGCAAAAGAATCTGTTTGTATTTTCATATTTCATGCATTGTCCGTTGTTCAAACAAGTTAAATTGCACGAAGCAAGTGAAATCGATCGTTGAACAGCTAAATTTAGTTGCGAAACAATCCGATTGACAGGTAAAAAAAGAAATGGAATTGGTAAAAACCAACTTGTATAATAATCTAAAGAATTCTTCTCGAAAACATCAATATGAATTGAATAATTCTTCGAAAGATCTTTGGAACGATTTAAGTATAAAAGATAAATATTAAATTTTATTTTACAACCCCAATTTGACATGAAAGTGAACTGTTCATAAGAATTTATCAAATCATCTCCATCGATTAATTTGACGAGAACCGTATAAATACTTTCCCGATTGATTGGCAAAATTCTCAACGTTAAACTAACTCGATCGTTTTGATATTGACAGTTTGAACCATAATAACTCGGAGGGCAGAAACAGACATAAGCATTATTCGAAATGTCCGCATGAATTCCTCGATGACAAAAGCGTGCTGGTAGAAACGCTTCATGCTTATCATGAAGATCATTTGCAGTAATTTGTGAATGCTTTGTTGATAGTTTTGACGAATGTTTCTTTCTCAATAGAGGATACTCACTCGAGCCTTTCAATGTAAAGAATTTATTTTCATCTTTTCCTTTGAACATTTCGCATAAGATTCGTTCATTATCAGTGCGATTTCCATCGTGATGTTCTGAACAGGGAGATCGTTTACTATCACAGAATAATTCATCGTGATTATGAAGAAAAGGACAATCGTTTTCATTATTACATAAATACGACGCCGGAATACATTGAGGAGAATTCGAACAATGAAACATATTTCCATGCATCAGATTTGACTTATCTTTTCTACAATAATTTAGCTCATCCGATGCACCAAAACAATCGATATTTCCATCATTCATTTTCTCCATAGGTAAACATGTGACGTTGAACTCTTCCAAGGTTATACAAGGATATGATGTTGGAGGACATTCGAATGAAACACAGTTTTGTTCATCTTCTCCATTTGGACAAGCCCATACACCGTCACATCGTGTATAAATGTTATCGCAGGGCCAATGATGACATTCAGTTTCGTCTGTTGACGTCTGCCCATCATCAGATAAGTCGTTAATGCCGTTACAAATATCTTGATATTCAATATCATTTATATTAGTTTTCAAATATGATTCGCAGTTATCATCATCGATGATCGGAGAGAAACAAAAGTTTTCTTTTCCACTGCATTTAAAACGAAATTTATCATTTAATGAGCAACTCAAATTATAGGTTTCATCGTCATTTAAATAACAATCGTGGATTCCATCTAATAAACGATGTTTCGAAATGCATTTTGTTGAATTTGCACAACAGTAAAGGGACGAATGAAACCGTACAGCGTCATACGTTGTTCGACAACTATGAAAAAAATGTTTAATAGCCAATAAAAATTGATTATAATTCATTATTCCTGTAAAATTAAATTCACGAAGATGTCGGCAAGTGAAGTTTTTGTGACGAAAACTTGGTAAGAAGAAAGGACAAAGTGATTGATCATAACAAACCAAATCTGGTAATAAAACACGAAAATAAATGGCTTGTAAGAAATGGTAATTACCAAGAAGTGCCGGTCCAAAATAAGATTGACCTGGGTTATGTTTGAAGACATAGGAAGGAAAACTTCCTATTGAATGAACTCCGCTGAGCAAATTAAAGCCTCCAAATGTTGGATATGGTTTCGAATCGATTCCGAAATAAAAGTTGTCATTGATAGGAGAAACGACTAGCCCGATATGATTGAATATATTAGACCCTATGGTGGGAATATTCTGATACAGAGACGATAAAGAAATATGGGAATCCATAAGTTGGCCGTTCATAAACATCTTAAGAGTATAATTTATTCTTTGATCTTCTTGATAAAGAAAACGTATATGGCCAAGTAAAGCATATTTTGTTGGAAATTGAACTAATGGTTCACACATTGACAGATCAGAATTGATGGAACTAAATGATCGTAGAGTCGAGTCACATAACTGAGAATCATAATCTTCGCTAACTAAACTAAAACAAACGAGATATAACCAACACTCATATGAGAGATTATCTTTTGTCAAAAGCGATTCTCTTAATAGATCGTTCCGACGATTTTTACAATGACCAAATTGTTTAACGCATTGCCCATCACCACAAGGAAAATCTTTTTCACCTGCTCTACAACCATGTTCCTCGCACCGAAATGACGGATTTTGATAGCATAAATCAAATGATATTGATGATGACTCATCGGACCGATCAAGACAATCAGGATTATTTGGATCATCTTTCCAAAAATCTTTCGGGATACATAAACCATTATGACATCGATATTCATCTTCTTCGCACTCATTCATTTCCATTTGAAAGCATTCTTTTTCATCAATTCCTCCGTTTAAACAATCGATTTGTACATTGCATATTTCTCTCCAATCAAGACACAAATCTTTTCCACCACGATCGCATTCTAAATGACTATAACCAGTTAAATTCATAAGGTCAAAGTCGAATTCTTCCGATGGATGAAATCTCTTCTGAACTATATTAGTAAATAGTTGCTTATTGTTATAATTAAATGAATATTGACAATGAGAACCAAACCATGGTTCCGTACAATTGGAAAATAATTCATTTGATAGGACATCATTTCTTAATGGGTCATTGATATAAACTGAATATTGCTCAACGAGATCAACGGAGGCTGACCAAGATAGTAAAGCTTCAATAGTTACATTCAAGTAACGAAGTTGTTCAAACGTGGAATTTCTATAATACTTCCCTTCGAAATTAGATAACTGATTATTTGTTGGACGAATGCAATACTTAATCACTTGTTTGATTGAAACATCAAGCTGCATATCAACAATGTCGCTCGGAACATAATAGTATAAACAATCGAAATCCGTATGATCCATTCGATTGGTATCATATAGATTAAATTGGGCATAGACTGCAAGGCTTAATGTAACGAGAAACAAAAAAATCTCATTGTTTGAATCAAATAGAAAATCGCATCAGATTATATCTCTCTCATTGAACCAGGAAATTTTTTTCTAGAAATTTCTTGCCAGAAAGAAACGTGTTGATTTGATGGTAATACTAAACCTTCGACATGATTTTTCTCTATTTGCTGTTAATACATGTTAATGCATCTGATGGATTAAAATATGATTGTTTTATTTGAACCTAATGAAAATACGCAAATAGAATTTCGATTTGGGTTTAAATGAAATTATATAAGAGCATCGTCACATTTCGGTAATAGATATAATCAGTGATAAAATGCACGCATTATCATAGAGAAAAACGAACGTGTATATGCCTACTTGGAATCCGTTTCGTTGGTGACTCATCTCCTTTTCTTCCACATACGGTTTTTCAACTTGTTGTGCAATAACATCTCTACATGTGTATATTTAAGATGGAGTTTACGATTACAGTAAGTGCGAGTATTACTATGTCGCGCGGGAAATATTCACGAAGTAGTAGTTCAAATTCTATTCAAAATAAAAAAAAGAAAAGTAACGATAAATGGATGAGTTAATGGTGAACAATATTTGCGAAAATCTATATTCTCTTTTTGTTTCAGCCCATCAACTGAAATAGTCACTTGTTTGGAAAATCTTTCTAATGAATTAATCTATGAAATATTTGAATTCTTGGATTTCTATGACGTTTGTCAAGTATTTTATTCATTGAAAATACGATTTCGTCAAATGATTACGAATTCGACTCTACCTATCCATGTCACTCTTTCGTCACGATCAAAATGAACTTTCGAATCTTATACAAAAGATTTTATTCTACCAAATAAACATCGAATTCAATCACTTCATCTATCGAATCCATGTCTATATGATCACACGGATTCACCAACTCATATTTTGCCGCATTTTCTTCATCTTAAATCGCTCACCCTCAACAACATCGAAGTCGAACATCTCGCTTCACTCATGTCTACATTGACAACTTTAGTTTATCTTTCATCCTTATCCATCAATCCAGTTGATAAAGAACCAATTATAAATGCCATTTATCCACACGTATTTCACCTATCGGCACTGAAATACCTACGATTATCAAATAAGAACTTGTCTTACAACGTCCGTTTACCGGTTTCAAGTAATGAACAGAGTCCTATCGAATACTTGGTCATCGATGAGACTATTTCAATAGATTCACTTATGTTTCTCTTATCTCATTTTCCTCAACTTCGTCGTTTGTCTGCCCATGTTCATGTGTTGTCTACTCTCTTACCAGACCAAATTAAAGCACCGGCGTCGAAATTAAATTATTTGACAGACGTTTCGTTCGGATTGCAATCGATAACGTCCGATCAATTTGAACAATTGATTTCATCTCATCTTCCACAATTACGTATTTTTTACTTTCGACACAACAATTGGCCAAACAATGGTACTCCTGATAGCAATAATCATCAGTTCTCATCGCTATTCTGGAGCAAACGGCGATGGTTTTTCGTACAACAGCATTATAAAGAAAAATATTCTTCTCGAACAATCTTCTATTCAACGAATCCGTACAGACGACGAGATTATACACTAGGTGATGAAAAACGTGACATAATCGATTCGAATGTACAGATTAGATCGGTTCAACACCTTCATATTGCTGATGAAAAGCAAATACAAGATCATCAATATTTTCCAAATGTAACTGCACTTACTCTTGATAATGGTTTTACGAGTAGTGTTGCTTCGGTTGTAGTCAACCTGAGTCGTATAATTTCTTTGAAGAATCTGACTCACTTGAATTTAGAATGTACTTACTTTGCACTTGTCAAACTAATGCGATTGTTAAGTTTTACTCCTCATGTTCATACGCTGATACTCAGTTCGTTGTCGACCTATGGATTGAATAGTCAGACGATGCAACAGAACCAAACATTTCAATTACTATACTGTACGAATATCGTTGCAAATGTAACCTTGAACGGTATATGCTCAACGGATCAACTTCAGATACTTCTTACTTTGTTTCCACGAATGAAATATTTGCGCATTTGTATTTATGCGAAATCTCTACAACCATTTATACGACATATATTGCAGAAAGCCAAAGAAAACGCAAATAGCCATCTGTGCTTACTGTCTTTTAGAGCAGCACCGAAAATATGGATGAAACGAACAAAAAGTTTGATTGATTCGAGAAAATTACTTGATGATTATATGTTAAAGTTTGTTGGTAACGATCTATACTTATGATGGTAAATCTTTGAAATCAGTATGGATGTGAAAGACATAGATTCCGAAACGGCATCAGATTCATATCCTCTAATTACGAAAATAAATACGGAGACTTTAGATTTTATTCGAGAATTATGTGTACTGCAGAAGCGTATGAGCAATGATTCAAGAATTGTATCAATGATAGTATAAACTGCGCCAATCTTTCGACACGACAAAACTGAGCCCACACATCGTTCACTTTTATTCTTAGCATAAGGGTATTTAATTTGCATATAATCGATAAAGACTTTAGTTTGTGTTTGATCCGTTTGTTTTAAAATCGTAACAATTGTACTATTTAATTTCGTATTATTTTTGAGATAATCTGTTGTTATCACTCTATAGATAAGACCAGTTGTATTAATGTTAACGCCATTAATCAACCATGTTGATCCATGATCTGATGTCTGTACACCAGTATAATCAATGAATAGACCAGTATCTTTTGCCGACATCCCATCCGTAAGTACTTCAGCAAGAACTTGACCAGGAACAGCAAAAGTGACCACCGTATTTGGAAAAGGCAATGTCCGCAGGATATCGTATTGTGTTATCGTTCCAATAATAAAATCATCAATGCGTATCGTCCCACCATTAGGAAGGTCAACAGTTGTGACAAATGATTCTGTTGCTTTAATAAAACTTTGGCAAATACCTTCAGTTAAAAACGTGTTAGAAGTAGTTACTGATTGATATCTTCCGTCTAGCTGAACATCCTATGGTAGACATGAAACCATTTGCAACGGTTCATAACCCAATAATTGAAGTCCTTGGACACCTAGATTAAACTAACAATTAGCTATTTTGGCCGTTTTTTCTTGTTCTGCTACTTGTGAAGAGATTTTCGTCAAAGTACTATAAATGCGGAGTTGTTTCGTATTCAAATTAAAAGTACAACGATGGATATAGACAGTAAATGCATTACTATCAGCTTTGACAATCGGTACAAATTTAGTTCCTCGTAAATTATAGGAGTTTCCATGTTCATGTTCGCCAAGAATAAGATCGATTTGTGGAACACTCGTTGCAATATGAATATCAGTTTGAAGATCTAAATGAGCAATGGCAACAACGATATCGTACGTATCATTCACGAACGAAGTTAAAAAATTGTTTTTTACAATTGGAAAGTAACGGCTGATCAGCGAATCGAACATAGTTGACATGTTCATTGATCGTCAAACCGATTAAAAGAATTCTAACACCATCGATGGTGACTATTTTATGTGAAATACTTGATCCAAATGGAAGAAATTTATGGACACGAAATACATTTGAACTTATCCAGGTAAATACTGATTCATTTATACGAGTAAATAACTCTTCCTCAGTTAAATCAAATTCATGATTTCCAAACGTCATATAATCAAGTCCCAATGTGTTTATTGTTGAAATCATTTGTTTTCCATGTAAGCTGTCCCATTCATCTTAATTGTCCCAATGAAGCGAATATTATTGTTAAAATAATAAATCTTTGTGGAAAACAAATACTTCGACAACGATGCGCAATGCTATACCACATTTATACTAACCTACCAAGAAACGATCGAATGAACAAGGAGTATAAACGTTACTTATTCATATTTGTCATAGGCAAAGGTATTTTCGCTTTACCACTGCATGTGTCTTTGGTTTCTTTTTTTTATAGTGTGCTCTATTGTATATAAGCGTAAGAAGGTTTCATTGAAGTCAATTATGTTAGATGATGCATAACGAATCAACATATTTTATCGTCTATCACTGAATATGTTCTATTCAGAAATAACATGTCACAAATGCATCGTCTCATGGCAAAATAGTAGACTATTATGAACACACCAGTAAGTAATTCTATATTTTCGACTGAAAATATAAAAAACAGATTTAATATGGATCGATATGTACTCTAAAATTCATCAATATTGTTTTTTGTCAAGCCATACCCTGTCCTCGACTCGGAACAATTATTTCTTGACGAACGTTCATGTATGTCACAAGAAATCAATAAGCCATCGATTGATCAAAGTTATCCTTATTCCATTATCTCGTAGTGAATGACATCATGGGCGGAAAATAAGCTCACGGAAAGATATTGAGAATTGTTTTAATTATATCTGTTCCACTCCAAAAAATATCAGTGAAGTAGATTATACGTCTATACGCAACTCGCAGGGCAATAATTAAATATATCTTAACGATATGATAAGGAACTCAGTTGATCTTCCATTTTTACCATTTTCCTCATCGATCAAATACTTCGCAGATTTCTTCATAATCATGTTATCATAGTGGTTCTTTTCATGAGGTTTATCGTTATGATGATGAATCTGATTTGGTTTGTTCACTTTTATCGTACTCATGCAGTATTACTATTAACATCTATGTCGATTTCGCTCCTTTGACGTCAATCTTAATTTCTACGAATTGAGCATCAGCTGAGTGACATATCTTGACTTTTTTTACCAAGATTTTTGTATAGAAAGCAATGATACAATGATTTCGATGGAAAAATTATCGAAAAATGATATTACAATTATCAGTAACTTCAACTCTTTGTCAGCGATCCGTTTCTATATAATTTATGCAGCTGGCCAAGGAATGTCAACATGTGATAGTAGAGGTCGTAAAACTAACAGAAGTATTATGTATTGAACAGATGGACTATAACAAATAATTATTGATTGGATAAAAATTACGCATATCTTTAGTGTTCTAAATAATTTGGACACGACACACGTATATATATATATATATATGTAGTTGCTTGATTCTGTGTAAAAGGCTAAAGGTGAAGACTCGCGCAAATTCTGACAGTGCACCAGCAAAGAGGAATCATCGTAGAGTATATAGCTCACAAGAAGTACTGTACTATAGAATTATATTTCAAACAATGAAGATGTCAGTACTTGAACTTTACATATATTCTTGTCTACACCATCTAACTATAAATAAATTTCAATTACAATGCATTACTGTCAAAATGTTCAAACGCAATCAGATTTCTTGATGGGAAGAAAAACTGCGCATGACTTTGTAGAGATGCACAAATGCAAATAGAAATTTTATTAAGAATTTTCCTAAGAGTAGCAATTGTCAGATAATGCGGATAGTTTTACCTTGACACTTGAGAAAATAATTCTGCAGATAATCTTTACCGGCGCAAAATAAAGCTAGCGAAAATATTTTTCTTTGTTATTTACAAGATAAAAATCAAGAGGTAGAAAGACTTTCTTTTACTTTTCAAAAATAAATAAAAATTAACATCTCTGCAGACAATTACTGCTTAATTCAGTAATTCTTCACTCTCGTGTAGCAGCATCTGCCCAAACTATCCATTCATATCTCATATTTTCTAGCTTCTGAAAAGATCCATTGCTTCAGGTGTATGTTTTTCAAAAGCAAAGCAGCGTTAATACACAGATGAACTAGCGAAAGAACCTTTTGGTAATGATCCTGAGCGTAGTGCGTGCAGATGAAATATATCGTTGCTTGTTCCTTTGGCTGGTATTCGACGAACTGAATCAGGACGCAGGTTATAATCGCATTTTCACAGCCTCCTTCATTAAAATAAACCCTTCTTGTATATAATCTGAGATATATTTATATTGTAGCTTTAGTTTTGATCTTCTTTTATCGATGGGAACGAAATTAGAAAAAATTTCGAGCATTTCAAAATCTATTGCTTTTCAAGCGTTACCTTCTCTAGTAAGAACTTACTGGTTTGTCAGACGCTAAATACATTCTCGTGACATTATAGCGAACAAAAAAGCATTTCAGCAACTAGCTAATTACATAGAATTACGCACTCTTTCGTGCACCACTCATGTTCGTTTTGTTACTCTCATTTTTCCTAAGTTCATATTTTAAAATACCGATGAGATAGGCTGTTGTTGCCTGAACTATTTATGAAAAAGCAATCTAATATATCTCAAATATATACTGAATTTTCTCACTGGTTTTGATTGCTGTTATTTCAAGTAAGAACTACAATAGATTCATTGTTTTGTTTCTATGTGATCATAGCGAATAATCAACCATCAATATGGAAATTCCATATACCGTCAAATTCTGGCTTTTCGTAATATTTCTGATTCCATCCATTCCGTGCAGCATCTTCAATCTTTATCATTTTCTCTTCGATCGAGCACTTCGTAAATGTCTTCATAATCATGTTATTACAATTCTTCTTTTTCTTGGTCTTATTTACATGGTCACTGCCATCATCTGGTTTACTCACTTTTATCGTACTCAGTCGGCATTAGTAGCATCACCCAAGTTTTGCCTCATATGGGTGTACTTAGACTTCGCTCTTACGATCACAACAACAATTCTGGCAGCTTGGGCATCGATTGAACGACATATTCTAATTTTTCATCAAAATCTCATTTCAACACCACTCAAACGTTGGATTTTTCATTATTTTCCGTTAATTATCTTCACTATTTATCCATTCATTTTTTATATTGTTGGATTTTTTGTTCTACCCTGTTCTTTTCCATTTAACTACAAGGCAGAACGGTGTGCACTCGAGGGTTGCGTCGGGTATAATGAAAAAATATCAATGTGGGATAGTTGGGCAAACAATGTTGTACCAGTTTTAGTGATCATTATCTTTAGTATTGCTTTGATTGTTCGTGTGTGGTATGGAAAACATCGAATGGGCCATCGATTTCAATGGAGAAAGTATCGAAAAATGTTGTTTCAACTATTATCAATCTCTACTCTCTACTTTGTTCTATTCCTGCCAGCGATGATTTTATATGCAGCTTATGCACTCGGTCTGTCGTATAGTATAGGTTTTGATTTCTTTTTGAATTACCTATACTTGTTTTACTTTATTATTTTTTTCACTCCATTTGTATCGATTGTTTCCCTACCTGAACTTCGAGAAAAAGTTTGGCATCTTTTGCTATTCTGCCGACCACGAACAAGAGCAATTTTTCCAACGAGAGTACGAATAGTTGGTACCGTAAACCTACAAATGGGTAAAATAACAAATACTGTTCAACAAACATAAAATATGGAGCAGCAAATAACAGAAATTATAGCGTAGATAAGGTTTCATTTCTTCTGTGTCGTGTGTCTTTCGTTGTTATTGTCTGATTTATATATGAATAAACATAAATCATAAAGAAACTTCGATTTATTATTTCACCAAACATCTTTTTGCGCATTGCTCTAAATAAACGATGATCACGCTATGTTATTGAATATACTATAATTTCTCGCGTTTCATGGTCGATTTTTAAATTTTCAATAAACACATCTGTTTAATAAAAGGAAACAGTTCTTATTCATCGGATTCTAAAAGAAAGAACGATCAAATTTCCATGTACTATGATCTTCTTCTGAACCGAATCTCTTCCATCCAAATGTATAATTCATTTCGTATTTGCCACATAATTTCAATGTCCGTTTAAGTGGTTCAACTAGACTTTATACATGAAAATTTCGTTGAGGTAAAATGTGCCCATTGACACCAAAATGAGCAAAAATATGAGTATAAAGTCTCCTTACATTTTGATTCAATCAACTGTGATTTTATTCAACTACAAATAAGGTGTGGCTGAAAAAACGTTCTGTAACATTTATTGATTAGTTATTATTTCGCTCGAAGTCTCGCGGTTAGTATTGTTTGTTTGGATTGAAAAATTCTTTCATCGTATTCAGAAGATCCTTTTGTAGTTGTTTCTGATAAGGAAAAAGACGTTTTGATGAATGTTTTTGTAAAACATCACTAATGACTCTTGCTATTTCTTTCAGCGATGTTTGGCCATAAAAGTTTCCTACAGATGCTCTCGTGAAGCTTCAACTTGCTTTTCGAATGGTATCATTAACGTTTTTCAGTCAAATTGAAAGTCTTCACAAAATGATCTCATAAGAATCACCCAAAATAAGTGTTCCTTTACGAAATGAAGTCCTTTTAGTTTCATTTGATATTTTGGACTAATTAACCGACGAAATACGGGCATGCAAAAACTTGCGCTTACACGACTTTATTGTACGAGGAAAAGGATAAGACCGGTGCATATCACACAGCTTTGATTTTTCTGACCGAATGCATATTATAGAAACTAGGTATCATGTTTCGTACTACTTATACCACGTATAAATGTAGCAACGCAGGAGGATATCAATACCTTCATCTTGTAACGCAAACTTTCAATATGAAATTAACGTGTCCTATCGCTCTGATTACCAAACTATAGGAGAGAGCGTATCTCTTTTCTGACTGTGAATAGAATCAACAAACTACATAAGAACAATGATTTTCTGATTATTCAATCTACTCAATCCAAACCAATCATGCGAAAACTTATAGTCATTCATCGGCTACTGAAGATCAACCATACCAATAATTAATAGCAACATATTCTTCTCTGTA